GGAGATGAAGCTGGTCGTCACGACGGGTTTGCTGTGCGCGATGGCGGCTTTCACGACGGTGGCATGATGGATGTAGGGGATGAGGGAGATGATTATGTCGGCTTGGGAGACGGCGGCGTCGAGCTTAGCGGGCTCGTTGGCAACGTCGAGGGCGATGGCTGTTGTGTTTCTGTAGTTGCCCGCGAGGGACTGTGCGGCGCTGAGCGTGCGGCAGGCCACGGTGACATGGACCCCGGCGTCGGAGAGGGCTTGCACCGCTGGCTCGCAGACGAATCCTGCACCTAGAAGAAGGGCTTTCTTACCGGTGGCAGAGGACATGGTTGATACGTTGTGGGGGAAGGGAGGTTACTGCTGACAATGAGAAAATAGATGAAAGGAAAAGGACTTTGGGGTATCTGGGAAGATAGATGCGTGGGAGAGGATGGGCACACGTTCTGACAAGAGTCAACGGCACACAAGGCTAGCTGTTAAGAACTTTCACTTTACTGCGGCAGCCAATGGCTTTCCCTTCCTCTCATATCTCCGTGCTCTATTGCGTGCTCTACGTTATGGGCACGGTGTGGGCTAAGGTAAGCATGTCAAGCGCGGTATGTGCTCCATGACTCACACCTGCCATACCACGGCGGGTGGCAACTGCATAAGAACCTTTAGTTGGTGGCTCTCTCATGATCATGCATATCCCTAGGGGGTATAGATACAGTCTCTTTAGCAGTGTCTAATCTGCCAATAGCTGTGCGAAAGCGCTACCCCTCAATGGCCTTGATGCTTCTGTGCAGTGGACTACGACTATCATCCATTCCGCCTGAAGCTTAGCTTAGCTTACATATATGCCCCCATATAACGAAACAATGCGAACAAAGTGTCTTGACCAGACCACCATTCTCACCGCAGACAAGCAACATGCTAGTGGACGGTATACATACATTCCACACTCATTCTACATGTACAGCGAAGTCAGTCTCTTGGTGGCCATCCACATTTTTGGATTAAATCAGCAAAAGACCAGTGCCCTCCAATGCAACGACTAACTACACACAGCATGACCCTGGGAACTGAGTCATTCCATCAAGGAAAGAGAAAGGAGCAAACTCCGTGGCCATCCATTCCACACTCATTCTACATGTACAGCGAAGTCAGTCTCTTGGTGGCCATCCACATTTTTGGATTAAATCAGCAAAAGACCAGTGCCCTCCAATGCAACGACTAACTACACACAGCATGACCCTGGGAACTGAGTCATTCCATCAAGGAAAGAGAAAGGAGCAAACTCCGTGGCCATCCCTTCCACAGTCATACTCCACCCACTCCAGCCCACAACTTTTTCGCAAGAACAGCCAGCCTATTAGTGGTAGTCACGACACCTAAAGAAACTACAACAATCGCCAAAAATATCTCAAGCATTTCAGAGCCTACGAGTCAATCGATAGAATCATCACATTACAACTCTTATACACAATACCAATCCACGGTCCTACAAGACAGCACTCAGGACCCAACCCTTCAAGAGCCTTAAGCAACACAACCTAAGCCACTCAGTGCAGACAAGACGACACGGAGACAGAAGCAGAGCACCAGGGTAGCCAATTCCAGCTGTGTTGTATCTCATAAAGCGATGATCATAACATATCCTTCTCGCTCAGCGAGATATACTAAAGTACTTAGATTCCGAATCCGCAGGGAAGGATGTAGTCTCATCATGGAACTCTTCCCAAGAAAGACATGACTTCGCTCTGCTTTGTAGTCCTCTGCTGGAACGACTACATGGTCTTTATCTGGTATCATCTGATACTAGAATAATGTGGCGTGCTGATATCATCCAGGTGTTGCATCAATAATATATTGAAGCACAGGGCCAAGCGCAAAGCTCAAGCAACCAAATTAGATCCCAGCAAAACACGACACAGCCATTAAGGACAATTCAACCAAGGACTTGAATGGAATGCGCATTATCTACATTCGAATGGTATTGAAGATCCAATCATAAATGCCCGATACAACACTTTCATCTCTCCGCTCGGCCTCTCCACCGCAACCGACATCATCACTGACGTCATCTCATCCTCATACTCATAAACCACCCAGCTCACTACAAACTAGCATTACAGACCACTACAAACCACTACAAACCACTACAAACCACAACCTCATCTCTAGACAATTCTTACACGAGGTGAATATACCCGCACGAGCACATAATCCAATTCAATCTCAATACCCTAGTGCAAAATCCTCCCAACAACGAATACACACACACACACACACACACACAATGCAATCAACCCACCAACGCACCCAACCCGCCCAACCCCCCAAAGAAGCCGGCTACAAGCAAGCCTCCAACCCGGTGACGCAGACGCCCTCCGAGCAGCGCGCGCCGGCCCCACAGCCCTCAACCCGCCAGCGCGGGGACCCGACCTCCTCCATCACGCGGCGGACCGCCGACTCGCGCCCGGCCGACGACTCGCGCCTGCGCCAGCTGAACGCGGACCGCGAGCAGGAGCGCGAGGCCCTGCACCGGGCGGCGTCGGACGTCGATCTGGAGTACGGGGTCGAGCAGCAGCCGGCGGAGGGGGAGATCGCCCACGCCGTCGAGAAGACGTCCGGCCGGGCGCGCGCGCGAGCGCAGGCCGGGGCCCATGCCGGGGCGGTGGGCAGTGCGGGTGGACCGGGGGGCCCCGGGTATGAGAAGGGGTTGGCGGCGGATTTGGACCGCAAGGCTGAGGAGCATGAGCGGGTGCTGGGGGAGCGGGTGGGACAGTCGCCGGCGGAGCCGGACGATGAGGGGGGGGTGTTGGCGGAGAGGGAGGCCGTGAGGGAGCGGAAGTTGAAGCAGGATCGTGAGCTGGATGTCAAGGGCGCGGTCTCCAGAGGCACGGGGGATCCTGTTGTTGGTTGATACTTGCGCTGCTTAATGGCCTGAGAGGCTTCTTTGTGGATAGAGCTCATTTTGGGTCATTGAAGGTATATATTGTCAACAATATTCTGATATTCGTCTGTCGTGTCCGGGATGTTTTAATGATTAATGTAGAGATAATATTGGTTTCTTTTTTTTTGCGGCTGTTTGACCAGGCGGTGCCGCGAGGGTATCACAGTTTACATCAATTTCAATCATCAGCATCGTCTCCTTCTCCGATGGATACCTTCTTCAATGCCAGATCCTGCTTCAGGTCATTGATGCGCTTGGCCAGCTTGTTCTTAAGAATGGCGTTGGGCATATTCTCCCACTTGACGGTCTCCGCACGGATCAATGCCTCCAGCTCGTCAATTTCCTCGCGCTGCTGCTGGAGCTGGCGTTGTTGCTCCAACTGCTCTTCATCCATTTCGTCGCCCGGTTCATCATTATCCTCACCATCCGATCCGTCACTCTCGTCGCCTGATGAGTCGGCTGCTGGTGTGGAGGGTTTGGTCGCCATAGGTGTGCCGGCCTGGTAGACTCCAGCGTCTGACTGCGGGCCACTCGCAGCCCCGCCGGCGGCGGCGGCGGCGGCGGCGGCGGCAGCAGCAGCATCGCCCTCGTCTCCGGCAGCCAGGGCAGCCTCCATTTCAGCGGCGAGAGCGTCTTCGAAATCGTCTTCAAACAGAGCCCCAGCGTCCATACCTACATCAATCTCGCCCTCTGCATCTTGTTCTTCGTCGTAGTACTCATCACCGTAGTCTTCATAATCTCCACTTTGCACTATACCCTCGTTCCGATTCAGCGAGGCAGCATCCACCAACTCGTAGCGAGGCGGGGCTAGCGAGGCTTCGTCCTGCGCGACCATCTCCTCCACCGCTTTCTCGACCTGCTCGATCGTTCGGGTGCTGACCCGCTCCCGGAACCGACGCCTTCGAACCCACCGCAGAGGCGGCGCGAGACCATGCGGATACTGTAGATTCTTATCGTCCGTCAGGGAAACCTCGTCCGGTATTGGATAATCCATGGCTTCCTGTTCATTGGCCACCGGACCCAGGATCAGCAGCATCTGGCAGATATCCGCCGACTTGTACCATCCGCGCCGATCCCAACTCTTCATCCCCTCAATGATGCACGGCAAATCCACCAGCGCGGCGGCGTACTGGCGGTCACGGACCTTGAAGACGGCACGGCGACCTTCGCGCGTCAGCGGCTTGAAGGAGAACTCCGACCGGTCGAACCGGCGCTCGGCGATGGCACGTCGAAGATATTCACAGTCGTCCCCAGGCAGCATGCGTAGAATAAACTGCTCTTCGATCGCGGGATCGATCTCCGTGTCGGAGGCTTCCGAATCGTAGCCCACACCTGTCGGGCGATTGGGGACCAGCCCCTTGTTCTTGATCCGGATAGACTGCACGCCTGGCTTTTTGGCCGGGTTAATCAGCTTGAGGCGTTTGGGGCCTGCTGCAGCGGATGCGGTCGCGACGGCGGCGGCGGCGGCGGACGGTTCTGGCACCGCGGGCCCCTCTGCTGGGCGCTTCTTCGACGGTTTTTTCTTCTTCGGCTTTTCATCGTCGCCTGCGCCTTCGGCAACGGATGGTTTCCGTGGGATCTTTAGCGTGATCTTGCGTTGGGGAGTCTCCGTCGGCTTTGGCGTAGGAGGGGCAGGCTGGGATGGGGTCGAGGGCGCTGATGCTTTCGCCTTGTTCTTGTTGAAGGTGAGCTTCAGAGACGGCCGGGGGGTCTCCGACATGATGAAAGTGGTGCCACCAGACTGGCGGTGAGTGTCAGCTGTTAGATTTGAATAATGAGAGGCGACTTCCGGAGGTTCTGAGGGAGGAACGAGAAACGAGAGTGGGAGGGAGGTTGTAATGGTAAGAGATGGTTGAAGGGTGGTAGGCGGAGGAAGGAAAGGCGGAAGAGCGACACGGCCTGCTTGGATTCCGCTTGGTCCTCCTCTACTTTCCACCCTTCTTATCATCTCCAATTCATGTGCAAGCCTCAACTATCGTCTTCTACAGCTTGATTTGATCGATCGCCTGACAGAGAAGGTCCCTTTTTTTCAAACTGACCTCTATTTCACCTCACTATCATCGAATTCTCAGCCATGTCCGGCTCCAACTTACATAACGCTCTCCTCCGCCCTCCGATCATTCAGATCCTGCGCGCTGCAGGCTTCCACTCGACGCGTCCTTCGGTCCTGGACACTCTCGCCGACCTCACTGCCCGATACATCATGCTCCTTGCCTCATCCACAAGTGCTCATGCCGCCAACGCCCACCCCGAAGATCCCGTCCCCGTGCTCGAAGATATTTACCAGGCCTTACAAGACGCAGGCGCGTTGCGGCCGCAGCTGCGGGAGTGGGAGGAGGAATGGCAAGGGGAAGAGGACATGCGAGGACTCGAAGGGTTTCTGTCGTGGTTCACCGGCCCCGCCAACCGCGAGATCCGGCGCATCGCTGGGTTCGTGCCCAGTGAAGGGGACATGGTGGACGCGGACTCCCTGGAGAAGGAGGACTTCCTGACAGCCCTGAAGAAGAAACACAGCAAGACGGGAGAAGAGTCGCGATATGCAGGGACCGTGCTGGGGAAGAGCGGCGAGGAACACCCGATCGTGATCGAGGGCGGTGCGCCGACCCTGCAGGATTGGGGGTCCCAAATGCGATCCCGGGCACCGTATATGGCCGACAGCGACTCCTCGGTCGTGAGCAGTGCGCCGAGTAATCTGTCTGACGGAGAGGGAATGGACGTGTGATGGGATAAATGGAAGTGTGCCGCTTTCGATCTACGATGACACTTTTGGTTTCCTTGGTCACCCTCGACCAGGAGGAGACCCAGCACCCAAGTCAAGCGCGGAATCTTCGCGTATGAGGATACCCCCTTTCTACACGTTTTGGGACCCAATTCGCCCATTTGACCTCAGTTGGCTGGTCCAGCTGAACGGCATTGCCAGTAGCAAAAAGCCATCCCCATTCGCCATCTGGCCGGGAGCACAACCTTCTCCGACCTAGATCCTTAAAGCACGGGAGCTACGCCATTCAAATTCGCAACACGAGCGGTGTAGCCGAGTCCAGCGCAGAATTGAGCAAGAGGACGATGCCATTGCGAGAATGCATCTGAGGGATGGCAGGACGACATGGAGGCTTTCATGTATCTACCTTACCAGGGGCGCAATTCAGGAGCCCCGCGTATTTGAGATGAGCTAAATGTTTGAAACATCTCAAACCACTAAGATGAATTCTTACGATTCTTTCTGTCCTACAATATGAGAAAGTCTAGGCAGTTCTTGGCTGGCCGGGGGTGGAAGATCTCATCCAACCGCCTACGGATAATTCCAGTTGACTTAATCTCCTCATCTCTCCTCTCCTCTCCTCCACTCCAACTCCGCTCTCCCCCCTCACCTTCCCTCCTCTCGACAATAACACGTCCACCCACCATGGTCTACGCCTTCACCCTTCCGACCACCTCTCATCTCTCCTTCCAGAACTTCCTCTCATCCAGCACACATCCGGCCCTCCCACAAGCAGCCACCACCGCCCGCCATGCCCTGCGTCAGGCACTCAAAGCCCACAAGCGTCTACCCCGCGGCCCGCAACAAGACGCGCACCTATCCACCCTCCTGACCACCCTAACCACCTACCTCCCCTATCTCGAAGCCATCTCCGGCGGTCTAAGCAGCAAACCCAGCGACGCGACCAGCGAAGAGATCGAGATCACCCTGCACAGCGAGATCGTCACCTTCTGGCGCCCGACCCTCACCACCGCCCCCAGCACTACCCTATCAATCAAACACCTCCCTACCTCCCCATCCGCCTTCTCTGCCAGCGGCGGCGGCACCAGCAGACTCCTCAGCGGCAGTGGCCACCGGATCCGCGGGGAGGGCATTGACTTCGAGATTGCCTACGTGCTCACGACGCTGGGCTATGTACTCAGCCTGCTTGCGCACACGGGGCTGATGCGGACGCTGTACGCCGCGACGACCCCGACGCCGGACCAACGCACCGCCGCCGTCCAAACGGCCACCCGATACCTCCTCCAAGCCAGCGCGATCCACAATCTCCTCGCCTCATCCCCTGCCTTCGCGACCGCCGCCCGCGCTATTGCCGCGACATCCCCGCAAGCAGCCCCCTTCACCACCACTACCACCACCACCACCACCAATACTACCACCCCACCCCCCTCCCTCCCCGACCTCGACCCGGGCACCCAAACCGCGCTCTCCGCCCTCGCCCTCGCCGAGGCCACCCTCCTTGCCGTCCTGAAAGACGACTCCTACGTCTTCGCCTGCATCCAGGCGCGGAACCCCCGAGACAAGGATTGGATGGTCCGGGCGCCGGAGATCCCGAAGGTGCGGGCGCACCTGTTTGCGCGCCTGTGCATCCGGGCGGCCGAGTACGCGGAGCAAGCGGCGGCGGGGCTGGGGTCCGTCGTGGGCAAGACCGGGAAGACCGGGGCCATTGAGGAGGAGCTGCTGGGGTACACGCGGGTGCTGGGCCGGGTGGCGCGCGCCCGCGCGTGTCGGTTCTTCGGGGTCGATGCGGAGTTGGCGGGGAAGATTGGGGAGGCGATTGCGTGGTTGCAGGCGGCTAAGGGGGCGCTGGGGGTGAGGAGCCGTGGCGGCGCGAAGACGGAGGCGGAGAAGGCGGCGGCGTCGAAGGGGAGTAGTAAGTTCTCCAAGTTCAAGCAGGGGTTCAAGGAGAAACTCGAGGAGAAGAAGATGGAGAAGGATGCTGGGTCGCCGGGTGGTAGTGGTGATAAGAAGGAGCTCGGGCCTGGGGACAATGCGGGGAGAGATGAGGAAGGACGGGTGATTGAGATGTTGGAGACCAAGTGGGTGCGCATGAATAATACGGTTGGTTTTTCTTTCTGCTTTGGTAGGAGTGGAGGGACAGGATGCTGACGGTTGACGACAGATTAACACGCAATTGATCCCGCCGTCGGCGGAGCTGTTGGCCAATTTACCTTCGGGTCGTGACATCCACGCTCCGCCGGGTGCGTACCGGATCCCCTCGCTGGACGAGGAGCAGCTGGTGCGCATGCGTGCCCCGCCGGCGGAGGATGAATTTGGGCCGGGCAGCGATGTCGAGGACAGCGATGAGGAGCCTGCTGGCGTGTCGAGGGTGTGGACGCCCGGGACCGTGCCGGGGCGGACGGATAGTGCATATTATTGATACCCTGTTGGCGGGCAGACGCAACATTTGTCTCATACAAATCGAGTCCAGATCACATTGTCACCATACCCCTAGTCTGACCTCCTCTAAATTCTCTCCTCTACATCCACCAACCTCACCTCTCGCCGCCTGAGAGAAAGAAAAGATCCCGATATCGATATTTTCCACCCCAAAACCAATGACAAACATAGCACAGGTGAGTAGGTGTGTAGATAGGGAGGTAGGTAGGTAGGTAGGTAGGTAGTATAGCTAAAGCAGACAAGAAAAAGGAAATAAAGAAACCGTCAAGAAATTTCGAACAAACATGTAGTACAGCCATGACACAAAACAAAAAGATGATATAGTATAAACACCATCCCTGTTCCCCGCGATGCTCATCACCAGGGTTATAAAAAGCCCCCCCCCCTCCCTCTCCGTTCCGTTTCCTTCACTCAATTCTATCACCCGTTTCCACTCCCCAAGCTTCCGCAGGATTGAAGCAAAATTTAAGCAGACTTCTCCTGCGAGAAGTGGTTCTTCTCCTGGAAGAGATAACCCTTGATCTTGCGCTCGCCGAGGAGCTCGAAGTATTTTTCTGGACACCAGCAGAAAGGATTAGCATATGCTTCAAGCCTCGGTAGAACACTGTAAATGACTGAGAATTGCATCCCAGACAATTCCCCTCCCCTCCCTTCACCAAGAGGTATAGACACCCATTCTCAATCGGAACTGTAACCTTTTTCTCAATCTCAATCTCAATCTCAACCTCAGCGCTCAGTTTCAACCACCCCCATCAATCCCTCATCCTATCCCACTCCCAACCCCACCCGACTCGAATGCTTTACCCTCTCCCACCCCCATCCCCCCCCGAAACTCACAGCAAAGACACAGCATCAAGAAAAAAAAAAGGAACAGAAGAAAAGACATACCCCTCAAAACCCCACACTTCTCAAGGTGATTGACGCCCTCGCGCGCATAGCACTTGCCCAGCTCCTCGCCGACCAGCCGCGACATCATGCTGCGGACCCACTGCTCGCGGATGATGGCGTCGCGGGCGTTGTGCAGCGCGACGTTGTCCTCGTAGTCGACGCCGTCGTAGGTCGGGGCCACGGTGGGCTTCTTGGCCAGGAAGGCGGCGGATTCCGGGGTGGGCATTGCGATGAGGGTTAGGGATTTCTTGTGGTTCGTTGCAGACACAAGGAGATTTAAGGGCGGGGGGCCAAGGTGTCACTCCGAGTGTGAAGGCGCGTGGTGGCGGGGATTCAATTGCGGAATTGGAGGGCGAGACTTTTAGGTCGGAGGGTCGGTTTTGGACGGAGCAGACGTTCAGGGCATGAAGTTGGAATTCAGGTTGAGAGAGGATGGCCCCGGCCGGAGCAAATGCAATTGGGGGGTTGTGATTGGGTGGGGTGGTTGGGCGGTCTGCAGTCCACTAGGGGTAAAGGAAGTAGGAAGTAGGGTGGGCGGGAGGGAGCTTGTGTGCTGTTCTTACCTGCGCGTTATGATGATTAGTCATGGAATGTTTTATGAAGCTGGTCTTTGAACTTCACTAGTATATGAGTAGATGGATGGGTGATATGTTTGGTACGTCAAGTTCGCTTGAATTAAATGATGTAAGAGGTTAACGGAGTTCCTCCTCAAGCAATATACTCATACAAGGCCAAACCGAAACGCCTGGCCAATTTACACAAAGTCCCACATGAATGCACAAGTAGTCGCCAAACTCCTCATCTCCCATCATGCAAGCCTCACAACCCCATCGTAAACACCGATCATTGCGTCTCCTCTTCTACGCGAGGAAAGAGCTTGTCGCGGAGCTCGTTCAGCCGTTCCTTGACCCGCTCCCACGGTGGCCGATTCAACTGTTTGCTGTACTCGCGATACTGGTACATTTCACCCCAGCAGTCCCGACCAAAATTACAGCCTGCCATGTTGACCAAGAAATCTCCCTCGTCGTAATGGACGTTCCGGTCACCCCCGTCGCCGCAGGCGCCAGGAGGGAAGGAGTTGATGTGCCGCTGGGGAAGGAAGCCCACCCCGCTGCGGACCCATGGCTGGTTGGTGTAGAGATACTCCAGCGCATCTTGCTCCTTGTGCTCCCACTCCATATGCTTCTGTTCGTACATCACGGGGTCCCACCAGGCGTCCAGCAATCGATCCGCCCAGAGAGATCGCCGAATGAAGAACGACCCGAGGTTGAACCCGCCGCAGTCTTGCGAGAGTAGGAAATTGATCGAGGACGTATCGTTATCCCCGCTGGGAGAGAGAGAAACTTGATCCAAGTAAGGATCGTTGAGAGGGTGACTGATGCCGAGTGGGTTATAGACGTTGATATCGCGATAAGCAATTTCGCCAAGCCGGTGGAATATATGGTCCTGCAGGGAGTACGAGTACTCCATGATCCAGGTGTTCAGGTCCAACCACCAGAACCTACAGCAGAATTAACCATCACACACACCCCCTCTTTAGCGTACAGCATAACTTACCACTCCGCATCGGGGTACTTGCGCATGGCTTCCCGGATGATGTCAACCTTCTCCCAGTTTTCACGCCATTCATGTGAATAGCGCTTCTTGGCCAGCATGTTGACCGTCTCTAGCTCGTACCCCCAATGCTTGGCGTAGTGATCCTTGTTTCCGATGCTGTTGCGTTCGATCGCCCATTCCCGCGCGCCCTTCCACTCCATCACTCCCCCTTCGATATTCGACTCCAGGATGATGACGAACTTGCGCCCACCACCCAAGGATGACCGCCGGTAGGCCTCGATGATCCCTGTACCAACGGGTTAGTGACTCATGCTGCGCGCGCATACGATATCTGTCCCTACGTACGTGTCCACAGAAAGACATATCCGAGCGCGAGAGCGACCAGAACCAGTAACAGCCGCAAGCGCCTACGTCGAAACACCGCCCTGCCAAATCCCCAGGAGCGCCAGCCGTCCTTTGAAGGAGACGGGTACCCGCGCCCGAATTCGTCCTTATCAACATAGCCATTCGGGGATCCAGACCCAAGGCGAAAGCGCGGCAGCGTCGCAGACAACTGGCGCCTCGACCGCGAGAAGAATCCGTTGTTCTTTGTTGCGAAGGATGGATAGCCTCGCACCTCGTCGCTCTTGGCTTTGGCGACGGCCCACGAGATCCCACTCGGCCCCAGGGCAGTCGGGGAGAGCAAGCCACTGTGAGGCGTGGATGTGCCACTGCCGTGTGTAAATCCGGGGCTGGACCATCCTCCTACCCCCGGCGGGTGGGGAGATGGTGACCGGGAAAACGCCATGCGCGGGGTGTCGGAGCCGACCAAGACGAGAAAAAGTGGCAATTTCAAGCGAACACAACGGCCACTCACGCTGAGGTGTTAATGAGAAGGTAGTCGGCGCAACTGTCGGAGGAGACGAGCGCGTGGGGAGAGGGATGCCGACTCATGGACAGAAAGGCTGAAGGACGGGGAACAGAGAGAAAAAAGGACCCAGAGCGCCGTGAGGGAGAGATATGGTCGACATGGAGGCTACTAGATAACAACAACCAAGCCATTCGAGAAGAAAATTAAAAGTAAAATTAGCTGGCTGACGGAAAAGGAATGGGAGACAGGAACAGGCACAGAAACCCATCCGTGAACGGGTCTGCCCGTTTCCGTCGAACTCGAGGGAGCGTGGATGGCCACTTGTCACTCGCAAGTTGCAACGGTTCATTTCCAAGGGCACACGCTAGGGGTGGCCCCAGCAGAACCACACCGTGGATTCAAGTGGTTTAGGGGACGGACAGAGAGCTACGGCCATGAGGTCGACAGCCACCGGGAATGTAGGTAGTAGAGCCGAATTATACCTTTCCGCGTGCGCGCGCGCGCGCGCGCCTACTTTCGGTGGGACATGACCATTGTCCATGAAGGTGCAGTTACTTGTCCTGTACAGTACAAAACAATTCTGTGACACGAACACAATGAGCAGCCGAATCTCAAACAAGATTAGGATTGGGGGATTTGCAATCGGTGGTTGGTGGGGATTAGAGAAAAGGAGATGAAGACTGTTACCAAAGGAAATTAAATCAATCAACCTTCAATGGGGAAAAGCCCCGCCCCCTCGCTTGGACCACGGCGAAGGACTCTTTGCCTGGCGGTTCTCGGTTCTGCCTGGCATTCTTCCGGGTGCGGCGGTAGCTGGACCAATCCATGATCCATTGATAACACTGTTTCATATCTGCCACAGTCGGGATAATCAGGAAGGAGCCTCATGATTATGTGGGTGTGTGTGTGTGTGTGTGCTCATACCATTGTGAGATTAATGATGATGGAGAACTTGAAGATGATTGATAGTGCAATTGAAGCTAACCCGGGCTAAAAAGTAGGGGCTCCACCACACTACTAAATCTCCAAGACTAACCCAATGGGTTTGGGGTTCGTCTCAGGGTCACTCGGCCCGAACTGGCTTATGTATACATGACTCGGGACCTATGAGTACAGTACATACAACCACCAAAGCACTATTTTTCTAACCATAATAAATTGCCATAAATTGCCATAAAATGTGAATGTTCTCGGCATATGCAGTAAGTATACAACAGAGTAAATGATATCACAGGGGGTGTATGTCATCTGGCTTTTCATCTTCAACATCTAGTCGTAGCTCCGTTTCATGCACAATCAGGCAGTAACCCGTCCCAGTTTCCCTGAATTTGGCACAAATCCCAACCCAAAAATAAGTCACAGCTTTCCAAAACGATTATATAAGACACCCATGGTGGTCACCTTTGTTTCTATCCGACTCGGCCAAGCAAGAGCCTTCTTACTTCTTTCCATAGTCTTTCAGCACCGGAAGTTGATTAGCGGCCTTCTCCTTAGGCATCAGCACCTTGCGCACTGCGAACCCCTTCTCGGCCTCGGGTCGCGGACGCGCGCTGTCTCCATGATAAAACTCGCATTCGAACTTCAAGAACTTGTTTCGATGTTGCCAAATAGTGATGACGTCGCCGGTATAAAGCTTGCCGAAGTGGAAACCCTCCCGATTGTTCTTGTCCCCCTCAGGCCCACGTCGCAGCTCAGTGCCGTTCACCCAGATACATTTGCGTGTTTTGGTGGATAGAATGGCCATTACCCCGGGCACAGTCAGCCAGTCTTTGCCTTCGGCAATTTTGGCTTCGATGGCCGGCGCCCAGAAAGTGACCTCCAAGGCATAGGCAGGAACCCGTGTGTCCATTGGGTCGGGGTAACAGATGGTTGCTTGAGGCCCGCGACCCCATGAAGTCATCCGGTTCTCCAGGCGAAGGGTGAGGTCGAATATTGAGCCAGGCAGGGTACTCAACTTGCCAAGGAGAAGCCGAGACTCTTTCCGTCGAGGCATAGGCCGCGGAAGTTGGAGTGGCACATCATCCGGTCCAGGATCAGGTTCTGCAGGCGGCTCCGGAGGTTCTGGTCTCTTGCTTATGTCTGGAAGCTGCTTCCCTGTTTTGGCATCGATGGTATTGGCCAGTTCGATACTGAAAATGTCCACTTCTCCGCTTTGAGCCTCGGGCTCTTGAGTCTTTTGCTTGGAGAAAGGCTCCGGACTTGAACTCTCACTGGCAGTGTCAGGCATTGGCAGCTCTATCCGTCGACTGAATATGGCCGAAGGCTTGGGGGTCTCCTCAACAACATTGGTCCGCTGTTTTGTGCTCGAAGGTTGCTTGACCGGGTCGCCTATGTTCGCTTTAGTTGGCGGTTCCTGTGCCTCGGCGCCCTGGGGAATGGGACTCGATGTGCCAGGGTCGCGTGAGTTCACGTTCAGCTGCCCAATAAGTTTCTCAGCTCCCATCAAGCTAGGTGCAGATCCGGCAATGGGGTTTTCCGGGAGGGAGAGGATAGAAAATAGGCTGTTGCCGTCGCTTATCATCGACTCACCAGTTGAAGACACAAAGTCACGGATGCTGTAATCATCGCCCTCGAACGCGTCCACATTTTCCCCCAACGCGTGGGAACTGTGGAGAACCGACGGCGTGATCTCACCAAACAGGCGTTTCGGGGTAGATTGTGCCACTGGCTGAAGGGACGCGAAGCTTTCTATCTCCGGAAGCGACGGGTAATGGATATTGGCAGGGGGGTAATCCAGTTTTATTTTCTTGGATTGAGCCAGGTCGTCCCCCTCTTCATCTAGGATTCGTACCGCATTTTCGTTGAGCGAAAGCTGAGATGCGTCTAGCTCGTCCTCCACATCTTCCCCGATGTCTGAAAGCTCCTCGAGGACATCAGGGTTGACCTCCTCGTCCTCGTATTCGTCAAGATCGGGGATATTTGCAATCCATGGATGCTGGAAACATTGCTTCTGATTCGGTCGAGAATGGGGATCACGAGTCAAGAGTTGAGCAACAAAGTCGACGCCATCTTCTGAGACTCCCGCTGCACGCAGCAGGGAGTAATCGGCATCCTCGGTCATGATGATTCTAAGCATCTGGGCTCCCCTGTCATCGCCCCTCGGAGCGAACGGAGGGACACCGGCGAGTAAGTGGAAGAGGACTGCGCCCAGCGACCACATATCGACAGATTGACCGTAAGGAGACGTTTTCGGAGGCCTAAACATCAGTACGTTTCAAGACAAAGACACACATCATTAAACTTACGGATCGCCCAACCTACGCCGCTTCTTGATCTCTCCTCGCCGGTATGTCTCATATTCAGGATAAACCTCGGGGGCGCAATAGAGCAGGGTACCGCAGAAGGTCCTTAAGAATGTCTCTTCCTGGACGACTTTTGAGAGACCAAAGTCTGACAACTTGACCCTTAGTGGATCGAAAGAAGATATCAGGATATTGTCAGGTTTGATGTCACGGTGTGTGATCTTGCGGGCGTGTAAATACTGCAATGCATGCAAGATCTGACGGGCCATAGGTTTCACCATGTCCTCTTGGATCTTGCCATGCGACTGTAAGTAGGTTGACAACTCGCCGCAAGGGACGTACTCCATGATGATGTAAATCCAACGCTCGTGTTCATAGTGGTCGATGTATTGTACAATGTTAGGCTGGAATTAGCCGAAGTCATTAGCTATTACGATCCGAAGCGGCGGCAAAGGAAAGGAGGGAACTTTACATGTTTCAAGTCTCTCATGATTTGCATCTCATTATCAACTTTCTTGTCGAGTATGCCGTTTTTCATGAATCGTCGCTTGTCGAGCTCTTTGGCGGCATACACAGCTCCATGCTGCTTTGTCGCGAGCTTATAGACTGTTGCAAAGGCGCCTTTTCCAATCTGACCGGTGACATTGTATGTTGATCCTCCAGACCAGTGCATCCCGTAGGTATTGGAGCCTGACAACTGTAAGGCCGGTGCGGGTGTCGCGCGAGGATTACGCTGAGTCCTGCCGGGCTGTTGAGGCTGAAGCTTCGAGATCTGCTCGAAGTAGCGTAGTATGTTTTCCGTGTACTGCATCATGTAACCATCCCGGGAGGGCATGCGGACAATGAACCGAACCTCATCCGAGGCGTGGTCACCATTCATGACTTGGATCACCGAACCATTGACTAGCATGCGGCTTTTCTCTTTCTGAGTCTTCCGGAGACGGCAGTTGTCCACTATCGTACCATTGGTAGAGGTATCCTCAAGCATGAGAATGCCGTCCTGGGTCAAGAAGATACGACAGTGTGTGTTGGAGATTCGTCCCATATTGCCCTGTGCTGTGAGCAGAAGGTCGCAGCGGGCTGGGTTTCGTCCGAAGTAGAAGCCGGCACATGGGTCGCGTACTTGGGATGATAGGCGAAGAGCGAAGTCCAAGGCAGCAGTATCAGAACATTTATAGTCTAATGCGTGTCTTTGCAGAATGTGCTGGGGACTTTGGCGGGCGGTCGCTGCCACGGCTTCGTGCGCTGCAGGCGAGTTGGGGTGTAAGATACAGATGATGTCCGTCATATCATCTTCAAGAAGACCGGAGTTGTTGTAGCCAGCACGGCGAGGGTCCGTACACGGCTGGGTTGATTCCTGAGTTGCCTCCATTTGTGATGATGACAAGGGTTTGCAGTGAGTGAAAAAGAAAGGCGTTCAAGCTGAGAAGTGTGTATATGGGTAGAGATAACGCGAAGCTATGGACAGAAAAAGACTGAAAGTGAAAAGATAGTGTGCTTGTGATTAGTCGTGAAAATGCAAGGAAAGATATGCGTAACCAAGGCGATTATCAACACGGCTGATTCGCACGGCTGCATCCAAGTATAAGTCTCTGCGACATGCACTTTCCCATTTTATGCGTGCGGTTCGTGATACAAAGCGCCCAGTGCTCTTACCTCGCGAAAACCAAGAACTAGCACCTTATGCACACAGTGCTAAGTCTTGTTTATCCCGGGGCAAGCTCTTGAGAACCAAGATAATATGTCCACGGGGGTTGACACTGCCTGGTTAGTTATCACAGGCTGTGAGCAAATTAACTATGTCTCGGACACTCTAGCTTCAAAGCAAGCAACCTCGAGCTGGTGTGGTATTTGAGCTCTCGATCGACTCGAGCTTCAGCGATCGATCGTACGCGTTGTGTATGTTCAAGTCCGCGATGCAGCGCAGAGCTGACTCATTGAAACAAGGAGTGAAGAGAGCGGTGTCGACCGAGTCGTATGGATCGGATAATGCGATATTTCATCTGACCATATCTAAAGCCGGGCACAAAGCATTATTAGCCAAGATGTCTCTCGATCGATAGTTAGAGGTATCCCACTAAAAATAAGGAAAACCGAACTTACACAATTGACGTGCTCTCCCCGCCAGCCACCCACTCACCACAAGCCCAGATTGCTGCAATGGTCTCAGCTTCGAAGGCGGAACCAACAATAGAGACGAGAGAAGAGGCTGTCCGGCAGGCGGTGTCGTCGGCGAAACATGCAGCAAGGCGAAGAGAAGGCAAGGCTGGGGGAGACTCGGAGGCACCGCCGCAGTAAGTTGTTTGGTTATTTTGAGCTCCCGCCGAAGCCCCAGGCATCAACCCAACCTAGCCACGGGTGCGCTAATCTAATCGGTGCCTGGCCAATTGGAGTCCTGGCCTGAGAGGCGGGCGGCAGTTACACCAAAGATGATCCGTGGATGAAAGCCGGCAGCTACTAGCTGAGGTAGATATGTTTGCTCTCATCTAGTATACTAAGTATTTGTTTTCATCTATCGTGTGCCGTACGGCTTACTCTGATCAGTACTACGTTGATACTTTCCACTCAATGCCGTGTTGAAAACTTGCTCCAACCGAGCGATAGCCTCCGTGGATACCTCTGTGCTTAAGGTTATGGCCTGAAATCTCAATGATTCACAAGGAGCAAGGAAGACTTACGGTAGTGAATAACAATCCGATTCCCCAGCATTTTCAAGCCCTTCTCCTGGGCGATGGTCGAAACGTCGTTGGGCCCTAGTCCAGACGCCTCGAGGTCCAGCCAGACCATGTTGGTCTCCACTGGGTGGGCGAGCTTGCCACCCAGGCCAGTCCAAAGTTGAGCAACCTTCTTAGCGTTTTGATGGGTTTCCAGAAGCTTTCCTTGTTTGCCATGAGGGTCAGGCCCAAAGGTCTCTTCAACAGCGACGCGGGCGGCCGCAGCCAGCACTCCCGCCTGACGCACCCCACCCCCAATGGTTTTCCGGAACCACCGAGCTTTCTTGATGAAATCTGCGGACCCTACAACTATACTGCCAATAGGAGCACCCAAGCCTTTGGAGAAGCACAGGCTCACGCTATCAAACAGAGTGGTGTACTCTGGCAAGCTACCTGCTCCAGACACTACTGCTTCCCATAGTCTCGCACCATCGAGGTGCACCCTGATGCCGTTGTGATGTGCCCAATCAGTGATTCTTCGGGCTTCTGCAAGCGGCATGACCCTCCCATCCAGAGTGTTCTCGAGACTAATTAACTTCGTGGGACAATAGTGAATATTGTCACTGAGAACGGCGTGCTTTTGGATGTCCTCCAGAGTAAGATAGGTGCCATTTTTGGGAATGACCGGAAGGACGGTCGCACCGGTCCAAGAGCTGACACCGCCTGCCTCGTAGCAGAAGATATGTGCACGGTGATCACACAGCACTGAGTAGGGTGGCTCCTTGAGATGGGTGCGAATAGCAACCTGATTGCCCATGGTGCCGGACATCACCAGCAAAGCACTTTCATGCTGCGTCCGCTCTGCCACGTATGCTTCCAGGTCATTTGTGACCGGATCCTCACCGAAGACGTCGTCGAGAAGGGTGGTCTGGCAGATAGCTTCCAGCATTGAAGGAGTAGGTTTGGTCATGGTATCACCTTTGTTGTTTCAATTAGCAAGATCCACGCATCACGGCGTTGTCCATGAACTCACTTCTGAGATCAAACTCAGCGGCGCCAGCACCCTGCCACGTGCTGGGCCTGCTCCCACTGCTATGCGAGACCGTTGATGTGCTGGCCATGGCGAATCGAGGCGGATCTGCGATTCGTGAGATAGACAATAAGGGTCTCTGAACGGATAGATTCCGGAGAGAAAGGCGGGTGAGGTATCTCATTAAGACTTATATGAGTACTCAGAGCAAACGGCAGAAGATAAATAGAGGGAGGGGTAGGTGTCACGGGTAAGTTACGAGGAGACCGGAAGCCGTTAACCCGTCACAGTAAGCCCGAAGCCGACGGGGGGCCCGGGGGGAACGGACTGCCTGCTAGGAATGCGGGGTGCCCAATCCGCTGCCCAGTGGGCAAAACTGCCGACCAGCAAGAGACCGCCGTCCCGAGGCAGAGGCCCGGGGGGGGGGGAAGGGGGGGGATGATCCAGTCGGGTCCCGATCCATTAAAAAAGAGTAAAAAATAGCTGTAATTGTAAGACAGGCTGTAACACAGTAAACAACGCTCGGTGTCAGCCTATGACGACACGCCAAACGCGCGCCGTTCTTATCGATAGTCCCAAGGAGGAAAGGTCGACCCGCCGACGTGTCCCCAGTTGGTGGCTGAGTCAGCAGTCGAGACCTCTGGATCTTCGCGGGCAGGTTTGCGCCCTGATGGACTCGGAACGTCCTGTCTGAACTTGCGACCTCCCCCTCTCCTTCCCCCCTTCCTCAGAGAATCGAAATTTGGCTACAGCGACACAACCGATCACCACCTAAATTTCCCCGGCGTGGGTGCCACGCATCCCCCCCTCGCTTCTCCCTCATCATGTCTGCCACCATGGATCTGTCCCGCCTCACTCGACCCGCGATCCTGTGCCAGTGCTCGCGATGCTCCAGCTCTCTCGCCGCCTTGGAGAACGAGTGGGCAAAGCTTTCGAATTCCTACTCCATAGCGGCGGGGTGGCTGAGTGTTGAGCTGCATCGCATCTCGATCTCCTCGGAAAAGAAGCAGATCCCTCAGTCCTCGGAGTTGAGCAGATTGCGGGGTCGCATCCTACAGGAAGTCTCCTGCAAGCTTTGCCAGCAGAAGCTGGGTGCGCTGTGCGCCCTCGACAACGGGTAAGAAAGGGATGATGTTCAGTCTTCTTTTGTGTTAGGCTGACAGCATTTTTTAAGTCCAAACATCTTCTGGAAGCTTTCAAAAGTGTCATTCAGGGAGATCGTTACCATGCGTACCGTCGAACCCACCTTCAAAGATGGAGCGCTCGAGCGTCTGATATGCCCACCACAGGAACAACGACGAGATAGGGCCTCTATGCAGCCAGGCGCCTTGGTCCCGGCTGGATCTACGGAGCTGGAAAGTCATGGGATCTCGGTGGAACAACAGATTCAACACCAAGGTCTTAGCCTTGACCATATCTCCAGCTCGGTCAGCAACCTTCACGATACCATGTTCGAACTCAAACATGCATTTACCGCCCTACGCATCGAGTTGAACGGCCCCGGTCGCTTCGGTCCAGATATGAACAGCCCTGCTAGCAAGGACCTGATGATCGCAACGGTGTTGAAGGAGCTCCGATCGAAGTCCGAGGAGATCGAAAGACTAAAATTGAAGATTGAAGCCTTGAAGTTGAAGAACCGCTACGTGGAGGAACAACAGTCGGCTAGACAACAGGATCAACTACCCCCTTCACTACCGGTATTGACTGTGGGCGAGATGCTACCGGAAGTACGGAGTCCAGGACTACTGCAGGGCAGCAGGAAGCGGCCGTGGCCCGACTCGTTCCCAAGTGGTCGAACCCTGCCGATCGGGGACTCGTTTGATGATGACGATGACGACGAGAGTATCGGCGACTTTGCTCTGGATGGAAGGAATATTATACCGGCCGTCAAGATTCCCCTAAAGGATCCACCGCTTCGGAAATCAGAAACGGTCCATACGACGGATACGACGACACGCGAACCAAGCCCCTCGGGTTCCGCTCGACTGCGCATTGAAGTCCATTCCCGACATCAAACACCGCACCACGATCACAATATGGACGGAAGCCTGGAAGCCTCTACAGATTCGCAGTCAAGGGAGCCAGTCACCAAACGTCCCCGATTGGCCCAACCGGCCGACAAGAATTCCACCAGCGCGAGGAAGGCAGGCCGGCCCCGCAAGTCATTCAGCCAGACCACCAAACCTGACATCTTTTCTCACATCAAGCCTGCGCCACTTGCCGAACAAAACACCAATAACATCAACGGCGCCAACGGTGCCAATAATCCCAAGGAAACGGGTTCTCTCGCCGCCGCTGCCACCACCAGCCCGAGTGAACCAGCCCCGGGCCAAGAACCTCGCCGGACACGCTCTCGGAGCCTCCGAAGACGGCAGTCTGCGAGCAACCTGTTCTCCGCGCCCGGACAGTCACTCCCCAACGGCCATCTGAATGGCGAAACCTTCAACACGACCGAGCCGAACCCACCCAGTGCCGGCAAAGAAAACCCCCCTGTTGCCATGAACGACGTCCAGACAACGGACACCAGCGAGAAGCGCAAGGCCCAGACCGCCGCGCGCGACATCATGGTCCGGCTGGCCATGCAACGCGAGGAGGCCATGGAAACAGATACTTCCCGATGAAAATTGGTGAAAGGCGGAATACCATATAGTGCCTCCTCTTAGCTCACAAAACATTCTCCGATTCAACTCTTCCTCTCCTTTCAAGAACCCCAAGCTTGGCCTTCCAAGGTACGCCATGCTTTTTCTTTTGTCATCTTCGGCGCACGAAAAGTGTCCCTTCAGTTTCTCCTTGCCGGCGTATCGGTGAACAGGTGGGTAGGTGGGTGGATGGATTCGGCTGGTTAAGTCTTAGATTGTATCTCCTTTTTTGAAATATCGAGACCTCCCCCCAAATAATATTCCCTCATCGTCTGAGGTCAAAGCTACAATCTACCTACCTTGATCAGGATAACAATCAGATGGTATCTATGATTCATACATGAAACCTCGGATTGAATAACTCCCAAAAGCAGAGCCACTTAGTAATCCACCGATAGTTAGGTAAATTGTCTGATATATGATATTCCACCCCAAGGTAGATATAATGATTCGAGATCCAAGCTCCGATTTTCACTATCCTAAGGCGCCAACCTACCCGAGATGAGCGGGAAACACACACACGTCCATACACACAGAGGTTATTTTACACACATGAACCCACAGCCCTCGCGGGCGCGCTCGCAGGCCTTCTTGAGCGCCTGCTCCTCCGTATCCGTCCACTTGACACTGAGCTCATCCCATGGCTTCTTGGAGTTATACTCCTCGCGGAACAGCTTGTGCATCGCCTGCAGACGGCTGACCTCGCGCGGGTCCCCGGTGCCCGAGTAGACCATGAACAAGGTACAGGGCGGGAGGGCGTCGTAGATGCGCTGGAGATTCGCGACCGTGCGGCTGACCACGTCCGATAACTGTGGCGTCGGTGCTGGGTGGTCTTGTGTTTTCTCCTCGGAGGGTGATGCCGTCGTGCTTGTGGCTGCTGCGGCGTCACTGGACGTTGTTGTTGGTGTTGCTGTGGTTTCCTCGGCGGCAGGAACCACGGCGGTCGATTCGTTGGCATTGTTGGGGTCGGGGAGACGATTACAGAAGCCGCGGTGGAGTTCGAGCTCGCGCAGCCGCGCCCAGGTGAAGTCCACGCCGCCGCCGGGGATGGAAGGGTGGGTCTCGTCGCCGTTGACGGCGGAGGCGATGCCGTTGACGACGTCGTTGTCGTCGACGCAGCCGATGGCGACGGTCGCCTGGGCGCCGAAGCCGCGCTCGGGGTTGCCCCAGTCGACGACGGCGCCGGTGCGGCCTTCAGGGGTATCATTGTTGGTGTTGTTGTTGGTTGAGGGGGTGTGCTTGCCAGGCCGGGTGGAGCGGCCAAGACGTTTGAAGATGCTTTCGTTGGAGTTGTCGCCCGTGCCCCAGCGCTCGCCCTTCTCGCACTTCTGCTTGACGAGCTCGAGCACGGCGCGGGCGTCTTCGATGGAGTCGTGGCCGGTTTGGCCCTTTTGGATCTCCTTGCCCATGTATTTTTGAGTGAGCCACTTCAGGCTGCATTTGAGGGGCGGGCCGCGCGGGTGGGGGTAGATGAAAGTGGTGTCGACGATGAAGGGGTGGGTCATCTTGAGGGCGTTCATATCGGAGTTGAGGGAGTGGCCGACGAGGATGGCTCGGGGAGTAAGGATGGTGAGGAGCTTCTCCTGAATGTCGGCGAGGGTGGTCGTGACGGGGTCGAGCTTCTCCTTGGTGATGCCGGAGAACCGAGTGAGGTAGTCGATTATGGGCTTTTGTGGCTTCACGAGCTCGTCGAGTACGACCTCTCCGTCCCAGCGCACCAGACTGATCCGCGTGAGTTCGGACTGGCCCCCCTCCGTGATACACATTTCGCAGTCCAGCGCCAGTACGTCCCGTCCAGCGGTCATGCTTCCCTGCTGGATCTCAGCCTCCGGTACCTGGCCAGCCTCGAGACTTTCAACGTGGGTGTCAACCCATCCATCCTCGGCGGATTGACCGGCTCGCTTGCGGCTCTCTGCTAGATTCAACCTCTCTTGCTCGTTGGCCATGAGAGCCGGATGTAGGACGTAGTCGTTTTCGCGCAGATCCGCGACGGAACTGATAAATGTAGTGATCGGCGTTCTCTGGGAGGCCTGGTTCTTGTCCACCCTCGGCGGTTTTGGACCCTTTGTGTTGTTACTCTCCTTGTTCTTCGGTAGTGGCGTGAGGAGCATCGCCTGGAGCGGCGAGTGGACTTTGTTGTACTTCGTGTCTCCAGGCGCCTTCACCGGCCAAGCATGAGGGAACATATCGGCCAACGACTGCAAAGGCTCTGGGAGACTCTCCCGCGTCAACGGCCGCGGGTTGAACCGATGGGAGCGATCCTCCAGAGGCAAGCCTTGCTTCCACCGGGCAAAGTCCGCCGTCTTGGGATCCTCCTCCTGTTTCTCCGCAGATTCTGTATCCTTATCCACGTCCATCTGTTCGCTAGCTTCCTCCGATGCCAGCGGTATAGATCCATCCAGCATCCCAAGCTCCAGGCCAGGAACCATCACCACCACAATCTTTCGAACGTAGCCGGAGTGCTTGATGGAGATCCATTGTGGTGCAATGCCATCGGCGAAACAGTAGAGAAGCAGACTTTGTAGGTCTGCGATCCGGATGGATGATTGTAATCGCCCTTCAACGTATGTGAGGACGGGATACTTGGTCTTGACGCCATCCACGCGCTTCTTCTTGCTTGGTCGCTGAGCTCCCTTCTGCGCCTTATCGGCCCCGGCGTCGGACGTCGCAGAGTTGTCGTTGTTCTCGTTCGATTCCGATGCCGACTTCTGAATGGAGGCAAGGGTCTGTGCGATTCCGAAGCCATTCCCTGTGTCTGGATTGGTTTTCACAGGACTTTCGTCGTCCGAGCAATCGGCGTGCTTGCGCTTTCTGGATCCGGCCATTTCTGGGTTGACAGCGCGGCAATGGGTGGGAGTGTCTGAAGGAGCTTGCCCAGCTACACCGGTTCCAGCAAACTAAGTTAGAGGCCAGTTCGGACACGGAGCCAACTTCTGATCCACCGCAAATATGTCGAGAGAATTGGGATAATCTGCCTGGCGATTGACAAATCTCGGATGTCGCGCGGCGAAGATCCTATCGATTGTTGGGTCATGTGATGATAGTGTATCGCGGGCGGTGATGAGTTGTGGTTGTCGCAGCGCCTGCAGGAAGGTTGCATCTGCAAAACATGCAAGCTGGACCTGCGCGGGGTCCAAGAGCCATTATAGGGTAGGCTTCGCAATAGCTGAGCACTGTTACGACGACCTTTGAGCAAGGCTTCAGCAGAAGCAGAAGCGAATCTCTGCTTCTGCTGAAATTCAATGAATCGATCAATTCCCGATAAGAATCCATCCCGATGCCCGACGGCAAAGTGATTACTCATCCTAAGGCTTTCTTGCCTCGAATCCCGCCAATCAAACCAGCTGCAGAGCGCCGAAGATCGCAAGATGGGACAGTACAGTATGAGCGGTAGCTGTATTACAAAACATGGTTCGATCTGATAAGCGGCCAAAATTTCGCCATCGATCATCCTTTCCCTCTTCTTCCCTCGATTGTTCCATTCATAGTACAGGGGGCTTCTTATTGTCTTTGCTCCCTTGATCACCTATCTTCTTCTCCTCCTTCCTACTCACTATACTCACTAGATTGGGTATACCAACCTGGTTTACGAAGCAGATTCAAGCAAACAACTTCTCCAACTCATCCAGTCCAGCGCTCTCGACACACACGCCCCTCTTAAGGTCCCCCCTCCCTCCCTCACCCCGCCGACCTCGCCCGCCGCCCGCGCGCTCGCTCATACCCCCCCACCCCACGCCATCGTCACAGTCACACACACACACGCACACACACACAAGACGTCTACTTGACCCTCCCCTCTCCCCTCCTACCGCCTCAATCCACCAGCAGATAAACAAAACCCCCCGCAACAAACCAAGAAAATCACAATGTCCGCCCTCATCGAAGTGGCCTCGGAAGCCGAGTTTCCAACCTACCTCTCCTCGCTGCCGCCGACCTGCTTGCTGGTCCTGTACTTCCACGCCCCCTGGGCGGCGCCCTGCACGCAGATGCGCGCCGTGCTGTCGGCCCTGGCCTCGCAATACCCGGCGACCAACCCGCCGACGACCGCGTTCCTGAGCGTCAACGCCGAGGAGCTGCCCGACATCTCCGAAGACTACGACGTCACCGCCGTGCCCTTCGTCGTCCTCGTCCGCGACGGCCAGATCCTCGAGTCCATCAGCGGTAGCGAAGCCGTGCGCGTGCGCGATGCCGTCGAGCGCTACGCCGGCCCCGGCAGCAACACCGCACAACCATCACACCTCCCCCAGCAGAAGACCGCCATCCCCCCGCCGTTGACCGCCGTGCCCCGCGAGGACGCCGCCGCGCCCACGACCGCCACCCAGGCGCCCAACGGAGCCACGGGCGGAGCTGCTGCTGGCCCCGTCGCCACGGCGGAGACAAAGGAGGCCCTATTCGCGCGCCTGGCGGAGCTGGTCAAGGCCGCGCCGGTCATGCTGTTCATGAAGGGCACGCCCAGCGCGCCGCAGTGCGGGTTCAGTCGGCAGTTGGTCGGCATCCTGCGCGAGCGCAGCGTCAAGTACGGGTTCTTCAACATTCTGGCCGATGAGGACGTGCGCCAGGGCCTGAAGGAGTTCGCCGATTGGCCCACTTTCCCCCAGTTGTGGGTGGATGGCGAGTTGGTCGGTGGGTTGGATATTGTATGTTCTCTTTTCTCTTTCCCTTTTCCTTTTTGCCTCTGTCTGCTTTTCTTTGGGTAGGTCAATTGTGCTAATGTCTCTCCCCATGACAGGTTAAGGAAGAACTGGAGAATGACCCGGATTTCCTTGCCATGTACTCGGTCAACAAGGCTGTGTGAGTATTATAGAATAGGTCTGCGTCGTTGGGGATCCCTGTATTGTGCTCGTCCCTTTTTCTTTTAACAAAGATACTTCCTAGTTGTTCAGTTCTCTCTAAGATCTAGCGATGGATATTGAGAAAAAAAGAACCAAAAGATTTAATTATTCAACCACTGGTTTCAGCTTCTTCCGTTCCTTTGCCGTCTTGGTCTTGTGCCGCTCGAAGTGATATGTCCGTCCTACATCCTCTCTATGGAAGCAAAGGCTGCGGTGTATGCCCCCTCGTAGAATTCATGCGATATATATTGTATATGATAGACAGATAGAATTCTGCAAGTCAAGCAATTCGCTTCATTGGGGCATCTGGCCATGCAGGCATACATTTTCAGGTATGGCGCCAGGAAGAATTCCAACCTACGACGGCACCGCGCGCCAGACGTTTGCCGTCCAGTTTTCAGGATCCTTGTTCCGGCGGGCTTGATTTGGCGTCCTGGGAAACATCGGGCTGTAGTCGCGATCATGCCAGATATTTCTGAAGGCCCGGTTGCGGACCACGGTGCGGACCCGGGAGAGCACGGCATCCTCGTCGACGTACGCACCGGCCAGCCAGCGGTCGCCCTGGGCGGTGTTGAAGGCGCGGCGGGCGTGCACGACGCGCCGGTTCTCGAAGATGACGCACTGGCCCGGCTCGAGTTTCAGCTCGAAGACATTCTTGGGGTCCTCGAGCTTCTCCGCGAAGTACTTCAGCGCCTCTAAGGCCAGGGTGTACTCGCTGTGGTCCTTGTAGCGGTCCGTGATGCTCGCCTGGAAGGGCGGCGAGTAGTTGACCCGGGTCAGCCGCCGCCGGAGGCCCTCCCGCGGCAGCGGGAACTCTTGTTCGAACACCGGCCAGGTGTTGGTGTAGAAGTGATCCGCGTGGTTGTACTCGTAGGTCAGCTCCAGCCGCGTCAGAGCCTTCCAGAGCAGCCGCTTGTCATGGAACATGGACCGCGACACGTGGAAGGTGTCGGCGAAGAGCGACTCGCCGCCGTCGCACGAGTTCCGGAGGCAGTGCAGGAGCTGGAACCCCGGGGGCTCGTTCATGTACAACAGGTCCATGTGGAAGTTCAGGAACTGGTTCGTGTAGGCGACATTCTCGGCATTGGGCTTGTTGCGCACATCCCAGGTCGGTCCGTAGAACGTGTTGCGGAGGGGACCGAGCCGGGTCGCGATCTTCTCGACCTCGGCGCGAGAGTCCGGGATGTTCTTGACGAAAATGAGTCCGGTTTCAGACAGGCTTCGCAGGGCCAAGGCGAATTCTTCACTTTCCCGCATGAAATCATTGTAATCGACCCAGTACACATCTTGTTCGATCGTCGCACGGTTCCAGATCTTTCGCCACCGTCTCTTGCTGCTAGCAACTTCCAGAAGTGGCGCCAGGACGCCGTGTTTGATATGATCGATGTGGTACTTGGATATGTGGGTCGTCTCGCCGCTTGCCATTCCTCGGTCCCAGTTTACCACCACTCGGTTGTCCTTGATCTCTATAGACCGCGGCTTGATGTCAATGGGTATCTCGGTGGTGCGGAAATTGCGTTGCTTAGTAGACGGGTCCACGCACTGGGAGCATTTGCATGCATCGCGCAGCGTGTGATAGAGTACCGAGAACTCCTTCCGTCCAGGTTGTTTGATCAGTAGAGCATCCCGTGTCGCCTCAATTTTTTCCACCCATATACCTTGGACTTGGATAGGAATCCCCAAGGGTGCGAACGACGGCCAACGTTCGGGATGAGTATCTTCCGGGGCGGCGCTTTGGTAGTCGTCTTGGTTGAACTCGGATTCTGGAAGGAGAACGGAAGGGCTCGCTGGAGCAGAGGGTTGTCCATGCCCTGCTGAGATCTCGGGTTCCTCCTTCTTTTCCTGCCTGAGACTTGACTTCTTTGCGTAGCTGCGACGGAGTGCGGGGGTGAGAGCTGTTGCGATGCGAGGAGATCGCAGGAGGCTTCTTCTAAACAAGGACGCCATGTCGATCTCACTTCATCTAGGCTCTGAGCGCTGCTGCACAAGGTGAGGCAGAAGCATATATATAGCACCGGGCTAAAGGAAAGAAGGGAAGGGAGTCATGGAGGGGAAGCAGACCGCATCAGCTAATACTCGAGAATGAGTGCCGAGGCTCGGAGGTCGAGATCTTCGCATCGCGCTTCTTCTCGCTTGTGGACTGGCCTCATGCCGCTTTAAATCTCCTGCTAGGTAGTGTGTTGCATTGCTTCTGTCACCTAAAAACAATTCAAGCATCACCACCTGAAACAAAAACATAGTGCAGAGAAATTCATCAGTGAATTCCGAATTCCCCACCAAAATCACGATGTGATCCCTCGTTGCTCTGCAACCAACAAATGACGCGCGGGCCTTCACGTCATCTCGCGCGCGCGGGAGAGCATCTCATTTTTCTAGCACTTGGGCGATCTTCTATCTCCCCAACACAATCGTTGCACCCACTTACACCCCGACTGCGTGTTACCAGTGCATTCTCTATCGGAGTCGCACTAAATTTAGCCGGCTCCAGTTTCAATTGGAGGACTAGACCATCCAGATCTCACCCTTTGACGTATTTCTGACCCAATCGCCGGTTCAACTTGTTGCTCAGTAAAAACGTCGCATACAAGTATTGTGGACTTTCCCCAACGCCACGAGCCAGATTCAAATGACCTTCGATCGAGTATAACGCTACATTCGACATCAGAGCAATCACTAGCGCCTGCGCGCGAACATCCGCCGATTTTCCCTCGTTTTTCTCTTCTCCCATTGACCCTCAGCAATCACATGCATGTCGGCCGGGGGCGAACACCTCAAGGATGAGGTGAGTGCATGGATCAGTGCTTGGCTGGACTTCCTATTTCTTGCGATTGTGCAAGTCGGTCTTGCTCTCATCTATCTACACTTTGCCTTCGTCCCTCATCCCAGGCGCAAATCGACTGACATGTCCTTCCTCAGGGGTCGCGACGACAAGTCGTCCTCGCGGGCGGAATCGCAGGCCTCTTCTCCCGGTACGTTCGGATTCCTCAAAAGCATCGCAACCCACCTCGCTTTTGCCTATCAACTGCTCCAACCTCTCCCATTCATGAAGAAGCTCAAGCTAACCGGAAAATCAAAAACACCACAGATTCTGCATCGCCCCCCTCGACGTTGTGAAAATCCGTCTCCAACTGCAAATCCACTCCCTCTCCGACCCGATCTCCCACCAACATGTCACCGGACCAATCTACAAGGGCACGCTGTCGACGATGAAGTCGATCCTGCGCGAGGAAGGAATCACAGTGCGTTTTTCTGAGCCGTGTTCCCTCCCCAACCACCCTTCCTCCAGCCACTAAATCACCAAACCCAACCCCGAACCACATCACTGACCCTCACACAAAAAAAAAACAGGGTCTCTGGAAAGGCAACGTCCCCGCCGAACTCCTCTACCTAGCCTACGGCATCATCCAATTCAGCACCTACCGCACAACGACGCAGATCCTGGCCACCGAGCTGCCCAACCGGCTCCCCGCCTCAGCCGAATCCTTCATTGCCGGGGCCCTGGCCGGCGGCCTGGCCACCTTCTCCACCTACCCGCTGGATCTGCTGCGCACGCGGTTCGCCGCCCAGGGCACGCAGCGCGTCTACCCGTCGCTGCTGGCCTCGGTGCGCGACATCGCGCGCCAGGAGGGCCCGCGCGGGTTCTTCCGGGGCGGCAGCGCCGCCGTGGGTCAGGTGGTGCCTTACATGGGTCTGTTTTTTGCGACGTATGAAGCGCTGCGGCCGGTCGTGGCGACGCTGCCGCAGCAGGTGCCCTACTTGCCGGCGGGCAGTGGGGATGCGGCGGCCGGCGTGGTGGCGAGTGTCCTGGCCAAGACGGCGATGTTCCCGCTGGATCTGGTGCGGAAGCGGTTGCAGGTGCAGGGCCCGACCCGGCTGTTATACGTGCATCGCAATATCCCGGAGTATCGGGGGGTCTTCAGTACGATGGCGTTGATTGTGAGGACGCAGGGCGTGCGGGGCCTATACCGCGGACTAACGGTCAGTCTATTCAAGGCGGCGCCGGCCAGTGCGGTGACCATGTGGACGTATGAGACTTCGCTGCGGGTGCTTCAGGATATGGAGATCGCTGTCGATTGAGCGCGGCTCTCTGGGAGTGGCAGCTAGCTGACTTGGATTGTTGAGGCTCGGATACACTAGACATGATACGCCAGCTTTTTAGAAAAGCATCTTGTAAATTATTCAACGACCTACTAGACTTCATTCACAATCCATCCTGGCCGTATTCGGACCGCAAACTCATTCCAGCATTACAAATCCCAGAGCACCTCTAGCTTTTTCTTCTGAACTCTCTTGGCCAAAATAATTGAAGCCAAACGAGGCAAAAGCAGGAACGGTCAAGATGGGGCTGAGGAAAACAAAAACAGGAGGGGGTGTCACACGCTAAAAACGAAAACAAAGCATTTGGCAAACCAGAACGCAAAGACAATCAAAGCAGAACGCGAAGAACCCTCAGTACTCTGCGTCCAGGTCTTCGGTTTCCAGGCTGTCGCCGGCAACCTCCTCGTAGTCCTTCTCCAGCGCAGCCAAATCTTCGCGGGCTTCGGAGAATTCACCTTCTTCCATACCCTCACCCACGTACCAGTGAACAAACGCGCGCTTGGCATACATCAGATCGAACTTATGATCCAAGCGGCTCCATGCTTCGGCAATTGAAGTAGTATTCGCGAGCATGCTGACCGACCGATCAACAGGAGCGAGCTCGCTGTTAGGAACGCGCATGGGTTTCTGAAAATTGATGCCCAATTTGAACCCTGTAGGGCACCATTCGACCAGGTGGAATGTATTCTTGGCTTTGACGGCGGCAATAGCCTGGTTACAGTCGCGCGGGATAACATCACCACGGTACAACAAAGCAACCGCCATATACTTGCCCTTCCGCGGGTCGCAAACAACCATTTGGTTATGGGGCTCGATGCCTGGAGAGCATTGTCAGTTATCGACTCATATATCTATGAGCGACTCTCGGCACCATGCAGAACACGTACACTGGAAGGTCAGATCCTGAACTTTAAAGCTCTCGTGCGAGCTGCGGTTGCTCGAAACCACAGGTGCAAATGAGATCAATGGATAGTGAATGCGAGGGAAAGGCACCAGGTTGGTCTGGAATTCGGCCAAATCGACATTGAGGGCGCCCTCGAAGCGAAGACTGGAAGTAATCGAGCTCACTACCTGAGCAATGAGGCGGTTGAGGTGGTCGTAGCCGGGACGCGGGATATCCAGGTTGCGGCGACAAATCTCGTAGACAGCCTCGTTATCAACCAAGAAAGTGCAGTCAGCGTTCTCGATGGTGCTATGTGTCGACAGGACCGCGTTGTATGGCTCGACAACTGCAGTTGAGACGCGAGGTGAAGGGTAAATGGCGAACTCAAGCTTCGATTTCTTGCCGTACTCGGTCGAAAGGCGCTCCAGCAACAAGGCACCGAAGCCAGAGCCAGTACCGCCGCCAAAGGAATGAAATACTAGAAAGCCCTGAAGCGAGGAGCAGTTATCTGGGTGGGTTAGTATATCGTTCAACACGTTCGCACAGCCAGAGACGCCGGGATGACAATATACCAGCAACACGACGAACGCGGTCGGCGACTTCTTCAACCATTTCTTTCCCAATGGTGTAGTGTCCACGTGCATCTAGACAAAGTCAGCGCTTTCTATAACGTTACAGACGCTTCTGAGAGTCATACAGTTGTTAGCAGCATCCTCCTTGCCATTGATCAGGGTTTCAGGGTGAAACAGCTGGCGATATTGCCCAGTGCGAACCTCGTCAACGGGCTATATTCGTTAGCCTGTATTATCACTTCGATGAAATTGACTCGATCGAGGCCCTACCGATGGATCAAGATCGACAAATATCGAGCGAGGGACATATTTTCCGTTGCTGGATTCGCTGAAGAACGTTTCGAAAGAGCCCGCGGATCTGGTCTCATCAACGGCATCGGGATTTAGGTGACCGTCTGCCTTGAGACCATGTTCGAGGAGATATCTATTATGAAGCCATGAGTTCAGCACTGGTCTGTCCTCGGGGGCGGTGCAGATCATGTCATGAGGGAGTGAGCGAGGCCAACTTACAGCTCCCAGGCACTGTTACCCAGCTGGATACCTGCCTGGCCGATGTGAATATGGCAAACCTGATTGGCAAATCACGTTAGATTCCAAGAAGGGCTAAAATTACACAGCAAACCGGTCTTCTTGAGGTAACTCGAAGCTAATCGAGGGGAGGAGGGGAGGAGGGGAGCCGTGCGGGGAAGCAAACGCTCGGGAAACTGGTATACTTCTTACCTCGCCTCTCATGTTGCAGATTTGGCTGCCTTCTTCCGTGATGAATCAGGCTGGGATCCGAGATCAATAGAGATGAGCAGAGATGAACAGTTGACAGTGAGGGATGAAGAATGATGAGGGGTGATGAAAGAGGGAAAGATGGTGATGAGGGGAGACAGAGTTGGAAGATGATGGTGCCATGACCGGGTGGTACTTTGGTGACGGACAACAACAACTGGCAACAACACGCGCTTACCGGGTTTGTAAACAACCTCGAGGGGAACCAATCAACAAGCTGGTTCCATCTTACAAACCTTCAGTTTACCTCAACTACTACCTCAGGGCTAGTAGAGTTGCACTCCAAGTGCATTGAAAGAGAGTATGCTAATTCGTTCCCCTCTGTTGTTAGTATACTTACCCAAGAACTACGAACTTTTACCTGACCCATTCGCTTAAACGTCTCCCACGTGAAACTATGCGGAATGCGGGGACACCGCGGCATCATGGATACCTAATAGTCTAACAGCACCAAGCATAGGTGAAAAGCACTCGTATCAAATCGAAACTGCGTGGTCACCCAGCAAACGATTCTCAGGTGCCTTCTCCTCTATCTCTACCAGAGTCCATGATACTTGTGCTTATTCGATATACAAGTGCTGAGAATCCGAATTGTTTTGCAACGATTGTATGGCGCATCATCGCCATTATCCGCTTCCATACAATCTCTACTGGAAGCCTCGCTCATGACAGAACAGCCTACGAAACCACCACAATCACAATTCTCACCCGACATGGTTCATTCTTAGCAGCATTTAACCGGAACCTATCAGATTCCCCGAGGCGGACAAATGATCATCTTATAGTTCACGCACCGCGCCAGAATAGAAAACTGGGCTCGCTTCGTTATCTGGGATCGGCAGTAGACAAGGAGGGGTAGAATAGGACACGTCGAGGGTCAATTATGATGTCGGAGGCTTGAGACACGAACTCGATTAGGGATTCCGAGCCGGGCTGCGAGATTTATGCGCATAAATACTCCGCCCCTGCATCTGCACAAAACTCAGATAATACAAAAGATGTTGTCATGGAGTTTCATCACAATGAACACGTTAATTCCAAGGCAAAAGCCTGGAAATGCAAGGACTTCAACCATGGAAATCAGTATTATCGCTATCAAGGGATGGTTATTGTACCAAGTACCTATACTGTCTAACAGTGTGGTGATCTCCTGCACGAGATTATAAGAGGCTGCATTATTTAGGTTTCTATCGTTGGGTTTACCGAAGCCACCGGGGCCAACGATCGGCTGCACTACAGAGCACTAGCATTTTAGCAGACGAGCTACCCTGAGTCAGGGTTAAACACAGCTCGTGTTAACGCTAAAGATAACGGCACAAGAGGAGTCGTCGTGTCGTCCGTCGCATGGGACACTGTCGGCTTGCCTGAGCTCTGGCTAGAAAGTCTGGGTTGGGCGTCAGGGGTGACGCGGAGATCCAGAGAATCTGCTCTGCGTGATGATGCACTTCGGATGTTCCACGGCAATTAGGAACAACAATTGTTCCAAGAAACAGCCAGTGTTCAGAAGGGAAATTTCCATGACGGCGGCCGGGAGTGCCTGAATTGTGGCGTTTCTTGGCAGTCGCCACACTGCGTCGTGGATTTTTTCTCTTTTCATTTGCCTTTGACTGAACCAGTCAAGAGTTCTTTCCCTTCCACCTTTCAAAGAATCTGCGTTGACCGACCATAGCAATATTGCTATTTCTGCAGGTCCTATACCCCGAACCAAAAGTTAATGAGGGTTTGCAGCATAGGAAGTCAAGTCACGACGGTGATAGCCGACGATAATACTATCGGGATATAACCCCCTCGAAAAACAGCAAACGATGCAGTGCGGAGTCATTGCGCGACGCACAGTGATCCAGTCTGGGTCTGTAAGGGTCCACTTTGTTCTTTCGAAGTGGGGATTCGAAGGGCCCATTCATTGTTAGTCCCGACGCCCACCGCAGCCACAACTGGGGCCGGCGCCATTGTTGCCTTGACCGTTTGGTTTGCTGATTGAATGAGGGTCTCCGCCCTGGCGCAATCTATCGATCTCACTTCAACTGGCCTAACTCGATAGCTTCGGAATTCCTGCCTCTGCAGTATCTGTGGGGGAGTAGATCGAAGAATCACTGTTATAGTACGATGAGATTTGGAAGAAAGCAGAGAATAATTCCCATGGCTGCAGTAGAAACATTGCCAATAACGCCAATCGCCAATAATCCGCCGAATCATGCGCATCGGCAGGGCAGCAAGTAGAGTATGAGTAAAGCAAATTGGTCTGGACCAGAGGGAGCAGCATCTCGGTTTCCTGGGCCTTTCCACTGGCCGACTTTCCCGTGCGATCGGCGAGGTTTCCGCATCGATCAACTCCTGCTCTATTGCTGCTGCCATCCATGGATGGAGCTCGGTGGATGGAAGTGAAGGTTTGTCAGTCAAGCTGTCTGTCTGTTCGTCGTCTTTTCTTCATCAGACTTCCCCACTTCGTCCCTCTTCTGTCTTCCTGTCATTTCAATAGTCTTGTCTCTTTTCTCCTTTTCCTTTCCACTTTCTTTTCTCACCCATTCTCTCTCGTCTTCTCACCTCACTGCATTTGCTTCAGCTGTTCGCATTCTTGTACTTCCATACTGCTTCCCACTTGCTTGTATAGAATACCGGCGAGTTCTTTCCTCGCCTTGCTTCTCAAAACCTCTAATAGCTCCCATGCATAGTTAAATCATTTGAGCGGTATGTATCAATTCTAGTAATCTTATTTATGGCAATCGTCCCCACCAGTCCTCACTCGACACTCTCGCTCGTGCGCTTTTTGCTGTCTCACCTCAATTTCCCCACGGACTGTCCACAACAGCTTGGCTTTTCCATTAAAAACAAAACCTATTCCCTCCTATTCCCTGGATGTTCTTCGGGCGATCCATCTACTTTTTCTCATTTTCCCATGTCGGCATTTTTCTGACTGTCTGCACAGTTTTGAAAGTTGACCAGGTCAATCGATACTGTTATCAATCAGGTACCAGACTTTGAGCTTATTAGTCTCGTCGACTGGCCCGGTGCCAGCATGTCACACCCATCGGAGAACCTCCAAGTTCCGGTACATCAGCATGAGAAGAGACTAGAGGGCGACACCCCCGATACCGACGAGGGAACCTACTACGATGGCTCGACCAGCGGCCACGGCAATCACCTTCGGGTAGATACCTCGTATGACTATGATCGCGCGGCCTTGCGCTCGCCTGCGACTGCACGAGAAGAGTCGATGCGCCTGGAAGATGATCTGGCTGTTCTTGAGGCCGAGCGCATGGCATCCCGTTCCACCACGCAGGAGGGGTCGATGAGAAAGGGCGAAGATGACGGTGCCTCGATGGCTCGTTCTCGCTCTCGTCCATCCCAGCATGTCGTTGATGAGTTTGATGAGGCGACCAATCCACTGCACGAGAAGGCGGCAGTCTACAACCCTCCCGAGAATCCTAACACCAACATCGCCAGATTCATTAAGAAGCTCCACGAGTCGAGTTTCATTGTGCGCTACCTCACCTACATCGTGCCACTAGTTCTGATCCTGTTGATTCCTTTGTTAGTCGGTGCCCTAGCGTTCCCCGACGCCAATGTGGGAGGAGTCAAATTGCTCTGGTTTTCGGTTTGGTTGGAGATTGTCTGGTTGACGTTGTGGGCCGGAAGAGTGAGTGCAACTCATCGAATGATGTCAGGCTAGATACTAACCTCAATTCCCTCCTAGATTGTCTCGAAATGTATCCCAGTTCCAGCTGGCTGGATTGCTAGTATTTTCACCAACAACGCCAAAAAGTGGCGTGACATGGCCAAACAGCTCGAGCTCCATGGCACCTTGTTCTTTTGGTGGCTTGGTGTGGAAATCTCGTTTCTGCCCACCATGAAGAACCATCACGTCGACGGTAGCCACGGCACAAAATCTTGGGAGAATACAGTCAACAAGATCATCATTTCTATCTTTGTATGGACGATTCTGAACCTTGTCGAAAAGGTCATCATCCAATTCATCGCCATCAGCTTCCACACTCGTACTTACGCGGATCGCATCGAGATCAACAAATTTCAGATCGGCAGTCTAACTAAACTTTATGACTTCTCTCGGCGAAAGATCACAGCTGAAGACACGGAGTTCGAGGAAAAAGACAAAGGTACCCCAACCGGAATGAAGACCCCGCTTCATTATGCCGGAAAGGCAGGACGTCTGGCCAAGGGTGCCTTGAACAAAGTGGGAAACAAGGTGGGCGACGTGGCTGGCGCAGTTGCTGCCGATTTCACTGGCCGCACGGTTAACAACAGCAGTCACCCGTATCAGGTGGTGCTGACCTTGCTGCGTACCACGAGTGGCTGCCAGGTCTTGGCTCGTCGACTCTATCGCACTCTGGTGCGGGATGGTTTCGAGACCGTGTTTTCTGGAGATCTCAAGGAAGCCTTCGATAACAACGAAGAGGCGGACGCCGCTTTCACCATGTTTGACAAGGATATGAACGGAGATATCTCGATGGAGGAGTTGGAAGCAGTGTGCGTGGAGATTGGACGGGAGCGCAAAGCCATCACCGCATCATTGAAGGACCTGGACTCTGTCGTCGGCAGGCTCGACAACATTCTGGAATTCTTCGTGATTATCATCACCGTGATCGTCTTCTTGACGCTCATTTCGACGTCCGCCGCCGGAGTGTTGACATCTGCCGGATCTAGTATTCTCGCATTGTCGTGGCTCTTCTCCGCCACGGCGCAAGAATTCCTCCAATCCATCATCTTCGTTTTCGTGAAGCATCCATTTGATGTTGGTGACCGTGTGACTGTGTATGGTAACGCAGGTGATGCCGGTCTTGGCGATGACTACTTTGTCAAGCAGATTTCGCTCCTGTACACAGAGTTCAAGAAGATGCAGGGCCATGTCGTGCAGGCCCCCAACAGTTATCTCAACGGCTTGTTCATTTTGAACCAGCGTCGGTCCGGTGCACTGGCTGAAGCAGTGCCCATTGTCATCAAATATGGAACCACTCTCGAGCAGATTGACGCCCTACGCCAGCGCCTGTTGGAGTTTGTCCGCAGTGAACGCCGTGAGTTTCAAACCAATATTCTCACCGAAATGCGCACAATCACGGAGAACTTCTCTGTAACTCTCAATGTCGTCTTCTTTTACAAGTCGAACTGGCAAAACGAAGGCTTGCGTCTGCAACGCCGCAATAAGTTCATCTGCATGTTGATGGTTGCCCTCCAGGAGATCGGCATCGAGGGACCACGCATGAACCTCCAGGGTGCCGGTGTCGATATTCCTTTCCACATCGCCGGTTTCCCGCAGCCTCACATGCCCGCTACTCCTGGCAGCAGAGATGGCCATCCTCCCCCGACTCCTATCGGCGACAACCACGGCTATGCCCCCGAGAATACCGGGTTCAGCAGCGCTACCCGTCACCCATCCATTCTCCGCAAAGGAATGAACACTGCCGCGGCTCGGGCTCGTGGCGATTCTTTGCTCTCCCGCAAACACGTGGATTTCTCGCTGGGCATGCGTGATATCTCCTCTGGCGACGTCATGGGCGACGTCTTTGAGGATCGCCGCGCCCGCGTCGAGGACATTGTCCGAACTACCAACCGGGAGAACACCGAGCGCCGCATCCAAGAAGAGGAGGAAGAAGAGGCCGAGCGTCAGAGTCGTAACTCATCCTCCCGCCGTCGCAGCAACTCCAATCTGAGCGTCCCGTCCACTTCGCGCGCAGGTCGCCGATCGGTTGACTCCCAGGGCGGTCACAGTGTGACGTCTATCACCCACAATCGTTTCTTTCGGCATCATCGCAGCAGCGTCAGCCGCGCACCCGACGATTTGATGGAGCAGGGCCGCTCCGATCAAGGCGCCAGCCCGGATGCCCCTGGCTCCGAACTCCATCCCAGCGTTTCTCATCCCGCGGAGAAGCAATGATTGCACCCGGAAGATCTCGTGATATTGAAAATTACACCTTAGATAATAAACATGTAGATAAATATCCCTTTCTGATTGAATAGTTTGCAAGATCAGTCAATATCAAATCATATATAGAAGACCAATCTGTTAGTGGTAACTCATCATAATTGTCTCGTCCATTGAAAGGGGGTAGAGTCAAGGCTACGATTGACCTGTCAACATTCTTTAACGTTAAGATTCGCACTAGATGCCAAAGCATACGGTGGCGCAGCCATCAAGCTTCTCCATCTCATCCACCCTACGAGCTTGTGACGTGAGCATCTTGATGCACATTATGCAAGCCTGGTGGACCTGCTTAGTCACATCTTACATAACTCTAGATCGTCGAATTGAGTAACCGGACGGAAAATGCAGAAAAAGAGGTGCCTTGTGTTACAGGAGCACTATATGCCATTGATCACTCTTGACCGCTGAGGCAATTGAATTCAGTGGTCAATGGACATATCAGAAACACCAACCTTCAGGTGTCTCGCGTCTTTTCCAAACGGTATGAAGCCATCTTATCATCCGCCGAGAACGTCATCATATTTCGTACACATATAGACCCGTGAGCATCAATAGCGGATGAAGCGACTATACTACAGAATGAAGAATCACCCAGACAATCCCAGACAGACCGAACGGAATCCCCCCCCCCCCCCCCACATCGCGCATCTCGCAGGGCTGAGAGATAACAAAAGCTCGCTCAACATGACTCAACACAAATTCGCCACGAGCCCAGCCCATCCATCTCGAAAGGACAGCAGACACCCACCCTAGATGGATGGACGCTGCGGCGACCCAAAACCGGTCTGCGGGGCCCGCGGATCCCGAACGCTTCCCATATCATGAGTAGCTGGAACCCGGTTATTGGGAGCGAGCGTTTTGTCTCACAACCAAAAACGGCCGGTTATGTTTGGGGGTCGTCGCTATTGGTGATTTGCTCCTTGGATTACACTTTTCATTTCCTCCTGCGGAAGCAAAGCAAAGCATTCCGGGAAATAGCGAAACAATCCAGCCACCACTTCGCGGAAATATGCCAACCTGGCGGGGCCTGTGGCCTGGCCATGATGGGACCCAGACGCCTCCGAGGTTCCTGAACTTCAGGTCCTCCGACGGGTTCATTATGTTCGTTGTGTCTTTTGCTGTGTTCACGGTATGTGTTTACACCAAAAAAAAAGCTCCTCCGATATTGTGAGAACCAGAATGATTGACGTTAAAATAAGGATATTCTATTGTATGGGCTAGTATGTGGATCCCTTCACCACCCTTTGATCTAGACCTTTCTGGCACCACTCGCGCTTGAATGCATTTCCGCTCTCTAACCTTAGTCTCGAAGATTGTCCCTGTGGCGCCCACGGCGCTCCATGAAAGAGTGGGCTTGTCTGTTGATGAAGGTACGTTACTCTCAGCTTGAAGCGGGATTATATCAAATAACTAATCATTTTATCGATGCGATGGCACAGAGCAAAGATGGACGTCCATTCTGCTAGCTCTATACGGAGCAGCTTTACTAGCCACCTCGCGTGAGTAACCGTCTATGCTTTTTTTCCTCCCCCGACCCTCAAGCCAACCCCACATACTAACTATCGCATGCAGCGGTTGCGGGCTACATAGCGGACCGCTTTGACTCCCGCTACTGGCCCCTGATCACCGGCCTGGTAGCTCTGGGGGCATCGACCGCGTTGCTCTGCGTGGGGACCAGCCTCGCGCTCTGGATCATCGGGCGACTGTTCCAGGGCGCCTCCGCGGCCATTGTGTGGACGGTAGGACTGGCGCTGATGGTCGACACCGTCGGGCGGGACGGCCTCGGGCAGGCGATGGGCTACATCGGCATGGGCCTGACCCTGGGCATTATGGGGGGCCCGCTCCTCGGCGGCGTCATCTACGGCCGCGGGGGCTACTACGCGGTCTTCGGGCTTGCATTCGCTTTAGTCGGCGTGGACATCGTCCTCCGGCTGGTGATGATTGAGAAGAAGCACGCCGTCAGATGGCAGCAGCAGCAGCAGCAGCAGCAGCAGCAGCAGCAGCAGCAGCAGCAGCAGCAGCAGCCGTCGTTGTCGAAAGACAAAGACGCAACCCAAGCAGCCGCCGACCAACCAACCTCCTCCTCATCATCCGACACAATCCCCGAAAAGACCTCCGATCTCGAGCAGCAGCACACAATCCCCCCAACCCCCAAACCCGCCATCCAACCGCCGCCCAAAAAACCCACGCAAGCCAACGCAATCACGACCCTCCTCTCCTCCCCGCGCATGCTGGTTACGCTCTGGACATACTTCATCATCTCACTAGTCTTCAGCTCCTTCGACAGCGTGCTCCCGCTCTTCGTGGAAGACACCTTCGGCTGGGGCCAGCTGGGTCAAGGGCTGATCTTCATCCCGATCTCGGTGCCGCACCTCCTCGACCCGGTGGTCGGATACATCAACGACCGGTTCCCGGCGATCCGGCGGTACCTGGCGGCGGGCGCGCTGGTGGCCACGGTGCCGCCCATCGTGGCGATGCGCTGCGTGACGACCAATAGCATCAGCGACAAGGTGCTCCTGTGCGCGCTGCTGGCGCTGGTGGGCGCCTGCCTCGCCGCGCTCATGCCGCCCGTCATCGTCGAGGCCTCGTACGTCGTCCAGGAGAAGGAGGCGCGCAACCCGCACATCTTCGGCAAGGGCGGCGCCATGGCCCTGGCGTATGGGATCCTCAACGTCGCCTTTGCCGCCGGCACCATCGCCGGCCCCTTCTTCGCGGGCTTCATCCGCGAGAGCGCCGGCTGGGCTACCATGACCTGGGCGCTGGCGCTGGTGACTGGCGTCTCGGCGGTGCCCGTCGTCTTGCTCCTCGGCGGGTTTATGTTGCAGAGGAAAGGCAGCAGCGAGAAGTTGGATGCCGGTGGTGGTGGTGGTGGTGGTGACTTGGGCGAATGAGAGCGGCTTTGAACACATCTCCAATATATAAGTACATACATTGCAGTAAGACAAGGCCGGGGGGGGGATGGATCTCACAACTTGTTTATACTTCCCTTTCTCCTCTCCTTTCTACATATATAGATATGTGTACATAATCAGATGAGTTCACAAGATGGGACTGAATTTTAAATACTCAACTCCGTGGGATGCTATATATACAGGACCTGGATAGAGATAAAAAGACAAAAAAAAAGCAAGAAAAGAAGGGAGACAGAAGACAGAGAGGATGGCCATGGGATAGGGCATTAGCAATGTGCATATATCCAGCTTGCATCGCAAAAAACAAACCCGGTCGGGGAACCCGGATATAGTTGCTGCCTTCCGGGGAAAACCCGATCCAAATTTGGGGGCAGAACTGCGAAACAGCACGGTATAACCCCCCCTACCACAAATATTCTCTCAATGTTCTCTCGCCACTTCCCCACCTTTGCTGTAGAGCGACACTCATACATACATACAGGCAAAAGAAGATGCAATTTTGAGGATCACGGAGTGAGTAAAACTGAACCAAGAATTGAACACAAAGGAGAAGGGAGAATGATCTGACAGACGAACAACGGGGTGATTTTAAGAAAAGGATGAGATGCAGACGAATGGGTCCCGAGCGGACCATAAAAAAAAACATACCAACGAAAGAAGACAGAAAAAACATTCAGACAGCCTGGTTGCGGTGGTTCGACGCAGAACAACTCCAGAAACACCCGCTCAGCCTTGACATGCATGCGAGAAAAGCAAATACTTGATAGGACGACGAGGAAAAGTTGAAACAGGATTCTCAGGGTGGTGTGTTGGAGGACGAGGTTTTGTTAGAAACAGGAATCGAAGCAAGCCGGCCCGGACGACAATCGTACATGACAGCGACGACGTTTATCATTCTAGGACGAAATGACGAGATAGTTTTTCTATCGTTGAGGCTCGTCGTGAGTAGTGCCAGAGTAGAAGCTGGGCAAGGGGGTAGGCAAAGGCCGAGGTGTTGCTTCGGCGTCTGTAATCTGATCGACAGATGCATCGGGGGATAAGTCTGCAGCACAGGAGGTTTCGCTTATTTTGGAGCGGGGAGTGTCGAAATCGTCTTCCACAGGCGCCAGATCAAGATTGCTCTTCGGAAAGACGATCGGAGGCGTGATATGCCCTTTTTTGAAAGGCTCAACGCTGGGCTGGTGGAAAATACCAGGCGCAGACCTAGTGTCAGGTGGAGACGATTCGTCCAAGAAAATGGCAGGTGGGTCCATCCTAAAGCCTAGCTCTCGCGTTGGAGAGTGCTTAGGGCTATATTCCTCTTCTTCCTCTTCTTCCACAGTGCTGATGATCGCCTCCTCGGGAATATGCAGGCCCTCGTACTTCCTCTCCATAGTGAAAGGGAGAAGGCCACCGTGCTCTTCGGAATCACTGATACCGGAAGAACCGCCACTTTTGCGCCTTTCCAGAGACTCTCTCTCTTTTTTGAGAAGCTCTTCACTGCCGCTGACGACGCTTCCTCGACTGTTCGTCCTCATCATCTCTATGCCCAACTTGGAACCCGGTCGATGGGTTCGGTGACGCGGACTGCAAGTTCGCGAGGGGGTATTGCCTAGCTCTTCATCCTCGTCATCGCCGGATTCGCCACATTCATGCCGCTTCCTTTCCAACGACTCTCTCTTGGCACGAATTGCCTCGCTAGATCGTTGTTTGTGGGGGGTCGTAGGCGCCCCCGAGGGGACCGTTGCTGGGGCCGAATCCGAGTGAAGCAGGCTGGGGAAAGGAACTGCCTCGGGACCGCTCCCATAGCCAGCATCTGTGCTTCTTCTGGTCTTATTCGACTCTTCAGTTATGCCAAGTCCGCCTTTGCTAGGGGTCCATTCGTCGTTGTTCCGACTCACAATCACAGGAACATCATCGGTCTTGACAGACTCCATATCACCAAAATAACTACTACCGATAGAGTCCTCGCGACTAGACCCTCGATATGAGCTGGAGGGAACATGCACAAAGCCAGAGGATGCCGTCGAACTCGGGCTATGCTCAACTTGACTCGAAGGTTGGCGGAGCATAACTGGTGCAGGCATTGACAGGGGATTGTAATCCTTTGGAGGTGGTTTCCACTGACAAAATTTACACAGCGCCTCAGTCAACTTCGTTGTCGTAGGAGGTTTCTGTATTAGCGAGTCAAAATGGTGTGTTTCTGGTAGGTCTTTGAGATAGCCTGTGACTGCAATGATAGGTGTATGTCGATTTGCACTGCGCGTCTCGCGTACCATGCGCGCAACATCTGCACCGTTGACTTGCGGTAGTTTGAACTCTGTCATGATGATATCGAACTGGATATCACTCAGGGCGTAACGCATAGCCTCCGCACCATTGACAGCCGTGATTGTGCGACATCGAAGCTTTTCGAAAAGACGTTCCATGACAAGTCGAGAGACGGGATGATCCTCACAGATGAGCACGTCCAGAGGCCGGAAGAAGGGACCCTCAGGAAAGTTGATCTGAGAGAGTCTCCTTGAGCTTTGGCGGCGCCGCTGGACTTTGAGTAAGGCTTTCGTTCGAGGATCTTCGTTGTCCGAAGAGGAAGGAGAAACATCAAATAACTGACTCCGGCGTTTGTGATGAGTTCCCACGTAGGTCTCCTTTGCCAACGACGATGAAAGATCGCCATCCTGAGAGCCAATAGTTTGTGACCTTGTTCGTGATGCGGGGGCACTGCCGTGACGTTGTCCTGAGGGGGTTTTGTCGGGAGAGTTTCCTGTAGCCCGCGTGGTCTTAATTGGTGATGACGCAGTCGAACCAAACTTGAGGCTTGTCATACGACTCGGATCTGCTGTCGTTGTTTGTAAAGAGCCGGTAGACTGAGAAGATGACGATCCTGAGGTTTTCCTGCGCTCGTGGTTGTGACCTGTACTGAACTGGACAAGTAATGGGGACGAAGGTTGGGAGGGGCGACTGGGCGATGAGTTGGCCTGACTTAGGGCCGAAGGAGATGATGGTCTGTTGTTGCCCTTGTTCTGAGAGAGAGTCCGCTGCAAAGACATTGGCAATGGACTTCCCTCGAGAGAGGGCGCGGGAGCGGGTGCAGCTGGTTCTTGTCCTTGGGGTTGGGATGGCTGAGCACCAGCGGATGACGGATGGCGTTGCTGTGCCTGCATCGCCTCTTGGCGCAATTTTTGGATTACGTCTTTATTGGCTTTCTCGAGCATGGGAAGGTTCTTGAAAGAGAAACTGCCGAAGTCGTCGGCAGGGGCAGGCTCGCTCAGCCTCCTGCTCCGTGATTCTCGCACATGAGGTGGAATGTGGAGGGGCATCAAAGGCCGCTTCATTGCGTTAACTTGAGAGCGCACCTTGAATAATGCATCATGTGGCCGATCTTGAGGATAAGGCCCGGCAGTTACCGGCTGTGGAGGAGTCGTCCCATCCTCAGTCTCTTCGGTAAAGGCCTGAAGAGTAGCGCCCCGAGTATCGAAATACTCCGTGTCTTCTGGATTCTCGATATTTGGCACGAACTGCGCTTTGTCCTCTAACAAGGTATCCCAGTTGATATCAGAAAACCATCCGTGGCTGCGAATCTCGGCCCCACCGTTTGGATATTTCTCCTCAACATTAGCACCAATACGCTCTCGAGGATTGATGGTCATCAACTTGTTCATCAGATCAATCGCTTCGTCTGATGCCAACTCTTCAGCTTCCTCGGGCCAATTGATCCTACGGTGAAGTATGTTATCGAAGACTTCGTCCGGAGTTGCCGCATTGAACGGTGGATACCCAAATAGAAACTCAAACATGATGCAGCCCAAAGACCACCAGTCACTCATCTCATCTTGACCGACGCCGTTGATAGTCTCCGGAGCCAAGTAATCTGGAGTACCCACGAAACGTCGATTGTGATCTTCGGGATCGAAGAGTGCCATTAGGGGGGGCATCATTGACTGTTGAGGTGGAGTGCTATATGAAAATGAGTTGCTCAGAGTTGGCTGGAAAGGGAATAAGTGAGGAGACTCCCCTGCCTCACTCTGGCTCTCCTCCTCCAGCGTGTGGTTGGCTGTGGGTACAGGAACTGGCATCGAGCCCTGGGTTTCACCGCCCTCGTGGAGGGATAGTTGCTTGAAGATTGCATTAAGACTCTCGCTAGCTCCGCTGTCGCTTCGATACCCTGACGCTCGCCGTGAATTTTGCCGGCTGGGTCCGTTTTGATTGAGGTTGAAATAGGATGGTTGAGGCATACTGCCCGCCGCATCGGGCGTAATCAAAGGGGTCGAGCCTGGCGAAGCACCGCCTTGAAAATCAAAAGATGCCGAGCGCGAGGATGTGATTGATGTCGTTCGAGGGAGCGATCCTTGTTTGAGTAGATCGGGCGCCGGCTCGTGGTTCATGCTCTTCAGCACACGCTTTTGACGCCCAACGAGTCCCATGCGGGACAACCCAAAGTCGGTCAGCTTGAGATGACCCGTCTGATCAATCAGAAGATTGTCAGGTTTGAGATCGCGATGCACGATGCCCCTGCCATGAAGATGCTCCACGCCGAGGACTACTTCAGCGATGTACCTTTTGGCCCAATCCTCGGGCAATCCGCCCAACACTTTAACAAGCGAAGCACAGTCGCCTCCGTTGAGATACTCCATTACCAGGTAGAGATAGTCTTTACTGGAGAATGTCCAGTAGAGCTTAGCGACAAAATCACTCTCGCCCTGCCACATCATGATTGCACGTTCCGCCTTCACATTGGTTACTTGGTTTTTGGCAACCATGTCCGCCTTCTTCAACACTTTGATCGCGAAATATTCTCCAGTTGCCTTCTTCTTCGACAGGTACACACTACCAAACGCACCTTTGCTGATAGGCTTGATGATCTCGAAATCTTTGATTGAGAGCGGAGCTGGTCGTGGCTGAGGTTGGCTAACGGAGGACAGGTGTGGCGACACGGGCGGTTTGGCAACATCAGACGACGTTGCCGACGATTGTCGACGATGGTGACGATAATGGAGTTGCGCCAACTCATTTGCATTGGCCGATGGCGACACTATTGGCGATGGTAGGCTATCAGCACCGCTAGAGAGACGCGCTCTAGGCATTCGCAGCGGCGAATGAGGACCAGAAACTCTCGCAGGCGAATGTTGCCGGCGGGGAGAACTCGAAAGCCCAGGGAGCACCAAACTTCGACGCTTCCTCTCCAGACTTCGATCCGAAGATGGCGAATCAGTCCGCATGGTACCGGGAAAAATGGAAGATGGGATACTGCCGTCACTGTTTTCACCTGCATCAAGTTCAAGCAGCGACAATCCTCGTCGAGAGGGCTGTGACGTTCCTAGCACACCAGCAATGCTTTTGTGTGAACGGGGCGTGGGGCATTCCATGGGGCTGTTCGATCCAGTGGAGATGGCAACCGAGGCGGCTGAGGATTTGCCTTCCGACTGCGACGACTGGAACCGATCTGGGGAGTTTCGCATGGACATCGTGAGGGCAGACATGGGGCCTGGTACTGTCGCTTCCCGTTTGGCGTACAGAATGGGACTAGCTGCAGTAACCGCAGGATTAATCTCGGGCGGAGCATCATCGTCAGAGGTGCTAGAGTCGCTGAGCTGACCGGCAGCGATGCGCTCAGCTTTGCTGAGTGCTGCAGTGATACACTCTTCTACCAGAATGGTGTACTCGATACGAATACGCTCGGCGTACTCCACTATTCTCCTATGTCGAATCACAGCATCCACTTTCGCCTTCGCAACCTGCTCTGTATCCGTGCAAAGGGCAGCCAGACCCTGTTCCTGCTCGAGAGTATTCGAACTAGGTGATTGCCATTGAATGACTTGTGAGATGCGCGATTCTGATTGGGGAGACAGAGTACGGAAGTCATCACTACTATCGGCTCGAGAAGACTCCTTTATCATGGGCATGTTGATTTCTAGGGCCGTGTCGCACAGGTCAAGGATCAACTCGACAATTCGAGCCAACGGGCGCCGTACGGCGAATGACCGTGCTCTAGCGTGTCCGATACCCGAGGCTGAATGATCTCTTGACCTAGGGGGCGTTCCAGGAGCAGAGTTGGCGCTAGATGCAGACCCAGATGAGGGAGCTGATGCCATTGGAGATGGCCCTATGGGCAGTCCTTTGTACTCTGGTTGAACCGGTGGGGGTGTTGCACTTTCTCCAAGGACCAGCGGCCTACCCTGCCTTGCCTCTAGCGCATCGAGCACCCGGACAATTGCATGGCGATGCTCATTCAGATTCTCCTGGGCAATCTGAACATCCATTTCAGCACGATGTTCTTGAAGACATAGATCGGAATGCTTCTCAAACCACCACGGTGTGATCTGACGTTCACAGATGCGACACAGTACCGGGTTTGGGGCCGGGTGTTTGGAGGGATCCGGTTCACTGGCCGCAGCCTCCGCCAAGGTCGTCAAGTAGTTTGCCAACACTTCCGCACCAACACCAAGGGACTCTACCAACAAAGGAGGGAGGTCGATCGTGATTTCCCTGGGTTCCGTGAACGGTCGCAGCATCCACATCGTCTGTATTCCAGCCTATTAGTACCTCGTTTAGCTGTTGATCGTCGGAAAAACCTACATGACCTGTCCCATCAGCCGTACGGTCAAACACCATGATTCCTTGCCCTTCCATATGAAGGACATCCTGGCGGTTCGCTTCCTGCTCAGGGGCCTCTTCTCGAGCCTCCAACCCTTGAGTCTCTCCTGTCTCTTCTGCGATCGATTCCGTGACAGGCGGCTCTGGCGAATATTTCAGAACCGAGTCAGGTCCTAACCGGACGGCAAACCGAATGAAGCGGCTGTAAGAATCGTTCTCCTTCATGCTCTCTATCGTGTCGTGGAAGACATTCTTGTTGCCGACCAGCAGGTCGGAGATCATCCGTCCTTCTATCGACTCCGGGGAGGTTCCCACGACCTGCTTCCATGACGGGCTGACCCATTTGATACGGCCATCGAGGCCAAGGTCGACAATGACGTTGAGGGTTTGTTCTGCCGCTTCCTTCAGCTCCTCCCGTTCTTCCCGCATATCGTCGAGGCTTGGGGAGCGAGAAGGAGAGAATCTCGAGTCGATCGCTCGAGCCTCCTGCCGTAAGGCTGCCACGGCCGGAGGCGCGAGGTACTGAACATCGTCGACGCCATTGCCCGCCATGCTGAACAGGCAATGCTGGGAGGGACGATCGAGGGATTCCGCGGGGGTGGGAGATGGCGACTAGACGAGGTGTGCAGTATTCGAAAAGAAAAAATATAGTCGAATATCGAAATCAAACAGTGAGCAGCTCCGAGCCGGACCGTCTGCCGGGCAGAGCGGGTGCCCTTGAATTGAGAGTTATGGATTCATCCGCAGCATTAAGTGGCCATGGCTCGATAGCGGGGAGGCAGACGACGAGTGCGAACGGGGCGCGGACGAGCCAGTTATTGATTCCGACCTGACGGCTGGTATATTTTAAGCGTGATAGATGGAAATTCGACAGGAAAAGAGAGGATAAAAAAAAAGTCCTAGGATCACGTAAGGACAAGAAAGCGAAAAAGAGCAGGAGACCAAGAAAGAATAGCGGCTATGCGGGGGAATGGCGCGACGGAGCGTCAACGCGAAGCCAGGGTGATTGACGGTGTCAACCCCCCGAACGAGGTTGACAAGATAAACTATTGATTCAAAATTGAGAAAAGGATCTCAGGAAATTCGAGAGCCAAGCTCAAAGCCACATAAACGGGAGAGAATATACAAGTCAGCGAAAGAAGGATGAACAGGGCGAGGGGATGCGGTTGTGGTTCTGGTTGATTGGAAACACCACAGGATTTAAGAAAAGGAAACGAAGAGCAGCGAGCAGTGAGCAGCGAGCAGCGAGAGCCGAAACAGAGAGAGACAAGACAGACAGTGAGTGAGCGTAAGTGAGATGGCTGGTAACAAAAATGAATTACCGAGCTAGTACGGGAAGGACCCGGTAGTGGAGTGGGCAGCTGCCCTGCAATAGGTGAGAAGTTGGTATGGTTCCGTCACATCCATCCTCTGGCGGGAAAATCAAGAGCGGAAATCTTACCAGAATACCCAATCAATACCCACCTTTTCAGCTTATCGGAGCCCGACATTTAAGATTGAGTATGAGGTTCGAGGTTATGAGTTATGGTTATGATAATTGACTTTCTCAACTCAGGTTATTCTCCAGCAGAACACAGTCTAGCCTCTTCATCTCTACAAATTGAAGCCATATCCCTTTTCTTTTCAGCAGATACACTCCGTCCGGTCTGTCGAACACTGAAACTGACTCTAAGGGGCGTCAGTCTAGCTGGGGCGGTGGTGACGGTGAGGATCCAGTTCGGTTGATAGCATGATTTGACTTAGTTACAAGTACGGAGTAGACTCACTCACTCGCTCATAGTTACAGTTTGACTAACTAATCAACTGACTGACTGATCCACTTGCTGCTCACTATCAAAAGGCTCCGGTCGATCGTTCACACCACGCCTCTCCAACTTGGGACTAGAACAGCTAGCGTTGACTACCTTTTTTTTTCTTCTCTATTGCTGGCCAGCATTGAGTGGTTCCAGCTTGTTATGTTGTGTTGCGTTATATGAGCATCCGATGGACAGACAACTTTCCCCCTTCCCTTCCCCCCCCCCCATCCCCGCGCCTCTGCGCCCTCGGGGCAAACGCACTCACACATCCATCGGAAACCAGCTCTAGCTGTAACTTGAACAACTGATTAGCTTAGCTCACAGCAGCGACAGCAGCAAGCTACATCGCTACAAAGACATGTATGAATTTTTATGTACCGTTAACGAACTAAAATGCACGGGCTCGGATAGCGTCAGTCGGTTCATCATCTTAGTATCTTGGCTCTTATCGTCGACTGACTCCGACAGTCAGCCATTCGTGGGACCCTCCCAGGCCTTGCTGTTCGAGAAGCAATCCTAATCAAATGATCCTGGTTCAACGCCCGCTTTGCGATTCGACTTTCAACCCCGAGACACGGCTCGTTTCCTAGGATGCCATTATTTACTATATCTTGAGTGACAAACTCGCCATCAACAACATCATCATCGTCATCATCGGCCAGGAACCAGCAGTACTTCCCCTCATCTCATTTTCTATTGTCACCCTCCCTGCTGGTGCTGCTGCTGCATCACCACGCAGAATGCAAGCAGAGCCCTTCACTCGTACTTACGTCGCTCAGATGATGGTTCCCTGGTCTTGCAGCCTGCCTAAGGGATGTCAGTCCGAACCACAGACGACACCTTCCGCAGCCACGAAGCGCCACTCCAGACCCCGTCTCAACGGCCGGACCATTTCCAGTTCATCACGCTATGCAATAAGTCTCAATTTTCTGGAAGTTCTGTGCAACCTGAAACTTTTTACTTATGGTTCAGCCCTCGCGACGGACTTTGTGGAATGTTGGTGAGGGATAGATAGGGCAGAGGGGGGGGGGGGGGGGACTGCGGTGGTCCAATGATCGGAGGAAGCCCTCCACGACCTTCATTTTACCTCGCCTTCCAACGGTGTACGTGTGTTTCCTTCTTTAGAGCCAATCATAAAACATCATTTGGGGACCGTCAGGACGTCACCGCCCGCCCAAAACGACATTTGATGGGCCCCGGTCCATGGAACCAACCGAAAAGAAAGTGAGTCTCATCTACTCCCTCCGTTCCAGGGATCCCTCTTGCCGGACCCAGCCAGCGATCTGCTCACTTGACTTCGAATTTTGCCTCGTTCGATACATCATCGAAACTGGAACAGGGGATCTGCTTTCTTGGGGGGTACATCGACCCAAAAAGTTGGCCCATGGTGTGTCTGATACTATTTGAGGGAGGAGAGTCCGTTGGTAAGCGAGGTTTAGGTCGGCTGCAGTGCAGCAACAGCAGCAGTATGCAAGTGGCACGCAGTCCGGCCGAGGGGGTGGTTACTGGTCGACGAGACAGATCAGACTGTAGAACCACCTCAGGCGGGGACTATGTATGTACACGGCAGGTAGGTCGGCATCTACCATTTTAAGAAATTACGATTCGAGCGTTTGTTGGATCTCTTGGATGGTCAAGTTGAGGATTGAGTCGTGCAGAGATGGGATTCGCCGTGGGCGATGAGTTCGGACTAACTAAAACACCACGCCATGAGCGCAAGATTATATCTTCCTGATCCGATCGCAATCCAGGCCAATTTACCCTGAAATCTGATACTCGCCAAATCAGGAAACCATCAAACTCGGTTTACACGTCGGGAGGAAGGTCATGCAATCCACCGTACACCTCCTCGTCTTATCAAGGAAGCACGGCTGAGATTCTGATGGAATCTGCGGGGTAAAGAAAGGTGGGGAGGCCCCCCAAAACTGATTTGATTGATGGACCGACCGATTGATTGATTGACCGACCGATTGATTGCTTGATTGAACTGGGGCTGGACGGCAAGAGGCAAGAAGCAAGAAAGCGGATTTCCTGAGCGAGGACGGGAGTACAATACATGCAGTCAGTGGAGAGAAAGCCGCAAACGATCTCTCGACTTTACTTTTTTGGTGTCAGTTCCTGTCTTCCCTCCTTGCTGGCCGCCTCCGACCGCGCATACTACCTATCAGAGCAAGCCATGATCAGTCCAAGTTTATCCCCCCCATCTCCCGCAAAATGCTTCCCATCCTGGCTGTTATTTGATGGTCAGACAAAACTCGATCATAATGATGACAATGGGTGTTGATGATCGAAATGTGGACCGGACTGTCTCACATCATCCTCCCAGAGCTGGGGGTGCATACCTATACGCCAACCCCTCCCCATGTGCACCAGATGAGCTGGTACTGTACACAACGAAAGCAACCCCTGCCTTCGCATCCAAGTATGCTTCTTTGATCGTCTTCAGCATTGCCTCTATCTCGTACCGCGCAGACGTTATGATCTCATCTTCTGATGAACAGGCCGATCTGTTTGAACTAAGAAGTGGTACTCCGTACTCTCGTCCTTCTTCACTTACTTGAGCATTAAACAAGACAGTACTTCGACTCCGCCGCAAACAGGAAACCAAAACCAGTCTCCGCCTCCGCGACAAGGAGCGCCGCCTGTCAATCCTTACCCAAGACAGGGTTGACAAAAGAGAAACCGACGCCCGATAAATTAAACATAGCAGACAACAAGAAAAAACCACGATCCTCCTTTCCTCCATGGTTTTGCGGGGGAATCGATCATCCGACCTTAGATACTGCCGACAGACAAAGTATGAATGACTACGAAGGGCTCTGGCTGTACTTGCGCTGTACATCCTACACTGCCCTCACATCATCATCAACCCCCCCCCCTCTTCCACAACAAAATATTCTCCAAGACCAAGACCAAGACAATACACCTAATCTGTCCAAAACACAAGCAAAAGGTACTGTAGCAACCCCAGACCAAACCATGAGTAATAGTACTGTTGTACCTTACGGCATCCCGTACGAGCACGAGATCATCTGACCGACTACTCCGTATCAAAAACCAAAACCAAAGGAAAAAAAAAAAAAAAAAAGCTAAAATAATCTAACAAGAAGTGAATAACTATATATTGCCAAAACCTTAGCAAAACCCCACGAACAATAAGCATGAGGAGACCACTGCATTTAGAGTTTCTAGCCCTCCCCCCCCCCCCAAGTACAAGTTCAGTACTACTACATACATACATACTTCAGACTTCGTACTTTTTTTTTTTTTTTTTTTTTTTTTTTTTTTTTTT